CACTGCTGATATTGTGTGCTTTCAAATCATCTCCAACTGATGGCAACCTTAAGGAAATCCCATCATTAGGAAACCGAATCCTTGTTTCCAGAGTCATAATTCAGTGACCAAACTACTATATCACATTGGCTCCCATTGTTAGGCATATATAAAATGTAAAGGTTTTCCCTTGACATTAAGTCTAGTTGTGTCTGACTTTGGAAGTGATACTCTTCTCCATTTCTAAGCCAAAGAGCTGGTGTTGTCTGTAGATGCCTCCAAGGTCATGTGGCCGGCATAACTGCATGGAGCGCTGTTACCTTCCCACTGGAGCGGTTTCTATTGATCTACTCACATTTGCATGTTTTTGAACTACTAGGCTGGCAGAAGCTGGGGCTGACAGCAGGAGCTCACCCCGCTCCTCGGATTCAAACCGCCAAATTTTTGGTCAGCAACCTGGGCCACTGGGGGCATATATAGGAAAAAATAATTTATTAATTGCTGTATATGGTTTCCATTTATCCTTCCCACTGAGGAAGTTTGGGTTAGTTCACTTGTGTTTTGCTCCAAAAAGAGAGAGAGGGAGAGAGAGAGAGAGCAGAGTGCGGAGGGATTTACAGCATGATGAAGAAAATGATGCTGTTTTGCCTTGTTCACTGGTCAACACATTTTGTTGTCTCAAACGTGCTTCCTTGCCACAGTGACTGGATAGAACCAAACACTGCCTATCTCTGAACACTTTATGCATTACTTGTTATTTATAAAGTTCCTTTTCTTATTTAAAAACATATTACAATATTACATATTACAAAAATGGGGTGGTTTTTGGGGGGGGGGGCTGGAACAAATTAATAGCATTTCAATGGGAAAATTGCTTTGAGATAAGAATGTTTTGACTTAATAACACGGTCATTAAACAAATTAAATTCTTAACTCAAGGTATTATATATAATATGTGTAGCCATCAGTGATTCCTTTCCAAAAACTTCTATTTGCTATTAAGTATTCCTATCTTCTATGAAGTTCATATCAAAGGACATACCTTTCCTCTTTCTGACTATACTTGCTTTTTCTGAGAGAATCAAACAGTCTATGAAACTCCCTCTCTCCAAAACTATCCACTGACCCACCCTCTTCATCCACCACAAAGCTTATACATTTTCCAAGTATGGGATATCTGTGTTCATTTCTGGTCTCATATCAATTAGTCTGTGTATATGTTTCTATTAAAGATACTATAGTAAAAGGGATCTAACCAAGCAGAGTTGTAATATATTGATAAACAAATCAGTAAGTATTTGCTGAAAAATAAAGCCTCAGCAATGGGTTAAAAAAAAGAAAATTAGTAACAATATTTGGCAAGAACCCATTAAGAAGAAAACTCCATAATATAGCATTCCTTATTCACATCAGTTCATTGCTTAATAGAGTACTATCTTTCTTTCAACAATTTATGCTAATTTATTTTATCTTTATTTTATTTTTGAAGGATATGCTACCTACAGTTAGAAATACAGGAATTGTTTTTAAGAAAGCCGCTTTGAGTCCCCTTAGGGCGAGATAAAGTGGGGTTTAACTAACTAACTAACTAACTAAATAATAAAGAGGCATATTGGGTACTCCAATATCAAATATACAAACAAATTTGAATTTTTTTAGGTAAAAATCTACTGATAATGGATCTAATACAACAATAGAAAAAGGGGGGGAAAATCTCAATTTGGGCATGGCATTCGCTTTAACATTGTCTGGATCGCTCATTCTGTGAATACTTTCTAAGCTCTGATCTGACAAAAGTACAGACTTCCAGGTGTTGTTGAATTGCAGCTTCTGTCAGCATTAGCCAGCATAACCTAGTGTGAAGAAGTATGGTGGAAGTTGAAACCTAAATATACCTGGAGGGCTACAAATTGACCAACTCTGATTTTTGCTGAGATGATCTTCAATGCACTTGTCTCCTTCCACCACCACAAAGCTCTGCTCCCAAGACACATTAAAGAAAATGGTGCAATCAGTTGCTGAACCCTGGATCTCTTTTCTATCTCAATTCACCTTGACCAATGCCCTGGAGGCACCAGATTACACCTGATCTTCGAAAGAAAATAGGGTCATGCCTGGTTAGTATTTGATGGGAGACTTCCAAGAAACAAAAGGTGATTTAGGCTATATTCCAGAGGAAGGCACCAGGAATCCACCTGTGAGTATTCCTTGCCTATGAAAAACCTATTAAAATGCACGGGATCAGCATAAGTCATTTTTCTGCCCTAGTGTAGTACTGTACATTTTCTTTATTGAAAATCACTTTTGTTAGTTTTGGCCCAACTTTCTAATCTGTTGAATTCATTTTGGATTCTGATCTTGCCCCCTGGAGTTATCCCTCCCAATTTTGTGTCATCTGCAAATTTGATAAACATACCTTTTATTTTGCCATCCAAGATGAAGATGCCTAATAGCATTGAGTCCAGGACTGAACCACTTTGCACCCAACTGATTGCTTCTATCCAGGATGAAGAGGAACTCTTGGGTTCTACCAATCAACCAATTCCCATTCCACCCAATGGCAGCATTGTGCAGTCCACATTTTTAAGCTTCTTTGTGAGAATGTCATGGGTGACACGATCAAAGCCCTTATTGAAATTGAGATATGTTACATCCACAGCATATCCTTCATCTACCAAGCTTGTAACTCTACAAAAAAGAAGATAAGAGATAATATTATTCTGGCCTGACTTGTTTTTGAAAAACCCATGGTGCCTTCTAGTGGCCACAGCATTATCTTCTAAGTGATTACAGCCAGTCTCCTTAATGATCCATCCAGAATCTTTCCAGGTATTGATATCAGTCTGACTGGACGGTAATGGTTTGGGTCCTCTTTTACCTCTTTTTGAAGGTGGTGTCAAGATTTTGCCTTCTTCCAGTCTGCTGGAATGTGTCCTGTTCTCCAATAATTCTCAAAGATGATTTCCATTGTTTCTGAAATTATTTCTGTCAGTTCTTGAATGCAATTCATCTGGCCCTGGAGGCTTGAATTCATTTAGATTCGACAGATATTCCTGTCTTGCCTCTTTGCCCCCAGGGGAGCTATGGGTTAAACCCTTGTGCTGACAGGACTGCTGACCAACAGGTCAGCTGTTCAAATCCGGGGAGAGTGTGGATGAGCTCCCTCTGTCAGCTCCAGCTTCCCTTGCGAGAACATGAGAGAAGCTTCCCACAAGGATGGCAAAACGTCAAACATCCGGGCGTCCTCTGAGCAACATCCTTACAGACGGCCAATTCTCTCACACCAGAAGCAACTTGCATACCAAAGAAAGACAATTTATGCTAATTTCTGTGCTGCATTGCCTCTGCTATATCCTGTGCTCCATCCTTCCCAAGTTGAGCACTGTTAACCTTTGGGAGAGGACTGAGGCAAAGAAGCTGTTGAGTAGTTCTGCCTTTTTTCTGACCTCTGCTAGCATTTTGTCATCACCTGTCTGCTTTGGTCCTATCATTTCTTTGTCCTTTCTTTTGCTACAGACATAACCAGAAAATCCCCTTTTATTGTATTTAATCTCTCTAGTGAGCCCGAGCTCATTTTGTGCTTTGACTTTTCAAACTTTATCCTTAAGCATACTATGTGTTTGAATTACTCTTTGACTTCCTCCTTTTCCTGCATCCCTTTAAAATCTTAATTACTTGCTCCGCTGCATGTTCAGATATGTCATAAATGGATAATCTGAAGACGGAGCAAGTTTGATTTCTTCTTCTGTAGATACTAGGACATAGAGTAATGGATTTTAAGCTACAGGAAAAGCAATTCAATGTAAACATTAGGAAAGAGTACCTAATAGCAGGAGCTGTTCAATGGTAGCATGCTCTGCCTTATCGTGTGGTGGGGTCTCCTTTTTGGGGGTTGGGGAGTTTAAATAGATCCTGGGTGGCCATCTATCAAGAGTGCTTTGATTATGTGTCACTGCAAGATAGAATAGGGTTGGAATGGATGGTTCTTGGGATCTCTTCCAACTGTGTCAAACTACATTGAACAAAAACTAAATAAACATCAAGCCTAATGGGTTAAATCCAAACTGATTTGTGAGTTTTATACATCTTTTGGTAAGGCATAGCTTCTTCACTGCCTAAACATATTGGCCCACCATTTGATATCCGGCTCAAGTAATATGGCATGTGCGCTGAAAACACAAAGGGGCTGGTGGTTTAGTTTTGCCTCACTGGCTCAAACATTTGACTGATATTGGGAACAGTGCCTTTGCTCATTTTCATGAATGTGTACTTGTATTTTTAACAAAATCCTATGCTGTAAATCCATATCTGGTCTGTTTCCTATTGCTTTCAATGTGTACATATAAAGATTGGGACCAGTATGCGTTATTGCAATGCCAGTTCGCTTCAATCTGAAGAATTTAACTGCATCCACCATGTTGTATTTCCCATATTAACCAATATGAAATCTATTATTATTGATAAACTGCTTGAGCCAAGAGTGGCTTCTTCCTTTGGATTAAATTAAAGCATTGCACCACTAACTTTTGGGTGACTTACTTCTTTCAGTTATATGAGTCACCTATTTCAGTACTATGATTGCGGATAGTGTGGTTTTATAGTGATTGTAATGTTTTAAAAGGTTTTAATGAGTTTCAGTTTTGATCTTAATATTAATTTAAATGTTTATTTTAATTGTATATTGTTGTTAAGGCATTTAATTGTTGCCTACCTGTAAGCTGCTGTGAGTCCCTTTGGGGTCGAGAAAGTCTGGATATAAATATAGTAAATAAATCAATAAATTCTAGAATTGGGGACCCCCAATCATATTTCTTTGCATATAGCCAAGTCCATAAAAGCAGTACAAGTGGGGTTCTGCTCTAAAGGTGTATCTTTCAATTAATATGTGCAAGTGTATAAGAAATTAATTACCCTCCTACCCTTAATAAGGCCACATTTCTTATTAACATGCAAAGCACTGTAACTGCTTGCATTATGTGCTGTTGATGCCTTGATCTGAGATTTCACTACTTTCTATTCAGGGACGAATTGAGAGATGGAGGAAGTGGTGGTTGCAGGCATAGCAGGGAAGCTGCCAGAATCAGAAAATCTGCAGGAGTTTTGGGAAAACTTAATCAATGGAGTGGACATGGTTACAGAAGACGACCGGAGATGGAAACCAGGTAGGCCTGACATTTCCGAAACTACTAGAGACCTATTCGAGCTATTAAATTGAACATCAACCCAGAAACAGCAATTTCTTGCAAAACCAGTCTATTGTTTTCTAGTTGCTATCCTCTTCCATTTGTATTGATTGGTGTTTTTGAATATATAGGTCAAATTCCCATTCAGTCATTCTGATGAATAAAAAACATTTAAAACTTTCTCTCAATTTGAATCCTTTCCCAATAATACAATTTTATGCTTGTATAACTACATTTAGATAGCTCTGGCAATAAAGATTGTACACTACACTTGGAAAACCTTTTTATTTTCAGTCAAAGTTTTCTCAATTTTTTCTTTTATCCATGTTGTAGAGGACAACAGTTATTTGCTGTTTTCTTAAAGGCAGAGATAGCCAAGCTTTTGAGACAACACGTGCTTTCACAATTTTTAGAGAGTGTCGTGGGGGCCATCACAAAATGGCTGGCAAACATGGGAAGTGACCATTTGCAAAATGGCTGTCATGATAGGCATGGCCAGTGGCCAAATATAAAAGCAAAACAAAGCAAACTGTGACAACTAAAACGTAAGTAACTCATCCAAGGATCTCTGGGAAAGACAGAGATGGGGTCTTAGCCCCAAAGACTAACCCATACCTTTGAGCACACAATTTCCTTAATGAGCAAAAAACACAAACCAAATCAAAATTATAGAAAGGAAATCTGATATACTTTTAATAAGAAGTGCAGCTGGCCCTCCACATTTGCAGATGTAACTTTAGCAGATTTGATTGTTTGCAGGTTTGATCAATTTTGTTCTGTCTAAGAATTCCTACATCTTCTGCAGTGATTTTGTGGTCAACCTTTCCCATAGATTTGTGTTAGAAGCCAGAGACTCCTAGAGAGAACATTTTTTAAGGAACCACTACATCTTCCAGCATGATTCTATGGCCAGCTTCTGATTGGCTATTAAGTTGCCATGGAGGACTTAGACTTTTTAGGGAATTGTTCTCAGGCGAAAAAAAAAGTATTTTTTTTCTTCACAGTTTTCCACTTTCATGGGGTTCTGTGCCTCTAACCCTCACAAAATTGGAGGATTTCTGCAATTTGCTCAAGAGTCTAGATACAGAGCAAATGTAGGGACCCCATTCAAAACCTCAAATGCATTCCTTTGAAATTCAATTTCTTTCTCTCATTTGGGTTCATTCACTAAAAACTCTCTTTCTCTGTCCTCTCATTGTCATAGCACTCCACTCACTTTTTTTCGGGGGAGGGGGGTTCTCTTTTTGAAAATTACATCCTCTAACACACCCTTTCCTTGATTTCTTTTTCCCAGTTGGGCCACCCTGCCTAACCTTTCCTATTGCTCTTGCTAGCCTCAGCTTTGTGTTGACGTCACTCCCATCACCCCTATCTGTCTCAGACCCTACTTCCTGCTTCCCTGGGTCTACCCAGTTTCCTCACTGTGTTCCCCACCTTCTGTACTTAGTAAACATTAGCAAATGTTACTTCCTTCTTTCCAGGCTTCTGGGAATGCTTTAAAGCCCAGGTACTAGTTTCTAGCCCCCTGGCATCTTTCATGCCTGATAATGTTTGTGGCTCCACCAGGGACCCAGAGACATTTAGGAGAATAAAGATGGCAAAACAGCTGAGATCAGTGGTTAACTAGGAAGCACTTCTGGCTACATTTAAAAAGATGGTCACAAGTGTCAGTAGGGCCAGTTCAATTTGTAGGGTGGTACCTGTCACCCAGTGGCGGATACACAGACCGTGTTGCCTATGTCCACCTTCATGGATGGGAAACCTATCAGATTACTTCAGTGTGTGTTGGCTCAAGTCTTCCTTTAAGGTTTTTCTCATGGGCATTATTACTTAGATTAATAAAAATGATAAGGATAATGGTTGTTGCTGTTGACAGTTTGACCTCTAGAGGTTCTTTATTTTCTTCATTGCCTGGTATGCAAACCTCTCGTGCTAGAATATAAGTACACTTTAGCAACCACAAAACTTTGCCAGTTGCCAGTTCATTTTATGAAGTCCTTCGGGGCTTGTTAAATCTTGAGAATTGAATTCTCATAGAGTCATGAATGGAAAAGCTTCATTGAAATCGGTGGACCTTAAACTAATCCTGAGTGGTGTAAGTCTCTTCGATTTCACTGAGATGGAGAGAAGGAGGAGAACCAAACAATTGTTGCATTTTTGCCACACAATACTTGTTGAGATGTGACTGATCCACTAATGATTACAGTGGGCCTTGGTATTCACTGGAGTTTGCACCCAGGATTCCATGCAGATAGCAAAAAAGAATAGATGCTGGAGTCTCTATTAATAAGGTCAACAGCAACAGGGCAACAGCAGAGGTGGTGTTAACCCCAGTAGGCCTCCAAGGTGCAATATTTGGGGCCATCCAAATCCAGGAAACACACAGGTTTTTGAGGCAGAGGCTGCAGTGCTTCTGCTTGTTTGCAAGGCAGAAATAGGCACCTGCTATTCTCCTTGGAGGCGAGAAGCATGAAGAAACCATACTTGGATGCTGGGACTTGCTGCTGCCTCAGCTTTGAATCTGTGTCAAATCTGTCGATCCTTAGCCCATTGATATGGTGGGTCCACTGTATTTTTATTCCATGAGCCAAAAATCTGGAGTTTATTCTATAATAAGATGTTCTTGGTCATGCTCTCACCTATACATTTTAAGCTATAGAAAGAATAGTGACATGTGGAATAACTCTAATTGTCATGTGATTCCCAACTACTATACTCTCTCTTTCATTCATTATATACTACATGGGAGATGCGATGAAATAAACCCGTTTCTATTTTTAAATTCCAGGAGTTTATGGACTGCCCAAGAGAAATGGAAAACTCAAGGACATCAGCAAATTTGATGCTTCCTTTTTTGGAGTGCATCCTAAGCAAGCCAATACCATGGATCCCCAACTTCGCCTGCTTTTGGAAGTCTCTTATGAAGCTATATTGGATGGTGGTGAGTCTAGCATCCTCTGTCCAGATCTCCAGCTGTGTGGGAACTGAGTGCACAAATGGTGCACAAATAGTCTTAAGAGTCAGATCCAGGTCACACGTTTTCTTCTGTCTGTGGATCTGAGTTATCATCTGCTTCTTTGGAAGAAAATGCAATCCTCATGCATCAGCATTTTGAATAGTCAGAAGGCAGTTTCACAGACTAGTTTGCTATCATATGATTTGACTACATTTTCTTTTTAATGAATTAATTATAGTTGTTCAGTGATACATACTTAAGGAAGCGATATAGATTGAAAGTGTATGCTCAGCATTATCTCAAATCTTTTGTTTAGATCCTTGTTATAGGGGTGGGTATTCAGTTATTGTGCATTCCTTCTTGGAGTTATTATAAAGAAAATTCTGTTCTTAATAGACCAGGAAGGAATGACTATATTTCAGCCACTCTTTTAAGAAATGAAATTTAATACTTCAGTTTGAGCATTCTTTAGGCATGAATTAAATGTTAGCACTTAAGAAGGTTATTGCAGGGCACATATAGAATTGGAAAAAACTTTTTTTTCAGTAGTGAATTGGATTTTTGTTTATTTTGGTGAGGGGAGAACTAAGCAGTGGCACATGCAGTGGACTTTCCTTGCTCTCCCACTAGTTTTTCACCCACAACAACAACTTTACAATGCTTTCTTGCCAGTACTACACCTGTTTGATAACCTGTGTCCTTTGACACTGTGCAATTATAGGTCTATGATACCACTTTAACTGTCACATTTCCATCATTTGAAATACTGGGATTTGTAGGGTGGTTCTTTGTGTGTGTGTGTGTGTCAGGAGCAACTTGAGAAACTGCAGTCACTTCTGGTGTCAGAAAATTGGCTGTCTGCAAGGACACTGCTCAGAGGGCACCCAGATTTTTGATGTTTTACCATCTGTGGGAGGCTTCTCCCATGTCCCCGCATGAGAAGCTAGAGCTGAGATGGGAGCTCACCCCACTCCCCAGATTTGAACCACCCACCTGCTGGCACAAGGGTTTAACCCATTGCGCCATGCCACTGGGGGCTCTGGATTTATAGGTTAAGGAGGCACATTCAAAATTTACACTGAAAACTCCTTTAGGATATGCCAGGGGTGAGAAAGGCGGTATATAAATACTTAAATATATATATATATAAATTAAAGTGGAAACATAACACTATATTATTGTATGATGTCCAGGGGCTGCCTGTTTGACATGTACTTGAGATCTTGTATTTAAGATTCACAATGAATAGTTGTTTCATCATACAAAAAATGCCTACATTTCTGCACTTGTCTTATTCATGCCTCATCTCCCAGGTCCTTTAATTTACTTAGTTGTAAACTAGTAACAACCACTTTGGGTGCCAAATGTTCCTCCTGATCTAATGAATTATTTAACAGTTGAAGTTCATGGCATGACATCTGCTTCCTTCTCTTTTAGGTATTAATCCAACTGCAATCCGGGGCACAGAAACAGGAGTGTGGATTGGTGTGAGTGGTTCAGAAGCCGGTGAAGCACTCAGTGTAGACCCCGAACAATTGCTGGGGTACAGTATGACCGGCTGCCAGCGTGCCATGTTTGCCAACAGAATCTCCTACTTCTTTGACTTCAAAGGTTTGTATACAGAGACTCAAGTCTAATATTTGAAAATGTTTGTGTAGTATACACATTCTACAGATAGGATGGTCGCCTTTCCACAGATAAAAGGTTAATGTAGATAAGAACAATATCAATGCTATCAGAGTGTTGAACATGGAGGGTGCATATTCTTTATGAATCTAGGAAATTTTACCTGGGAAATTCATTCCAAGAATCATTCACAACATCTGTCTTATGAATCTGGCATATTTTATTTAAAGGAGAACTGGAATCAACAAAATAAGAAAAGTAGTATTTCTTTTTCTGAATGGGACTCTTTTTGCAGTATTTTCTGTTTTTATACAAGAGAGCCTAAACGAAGAGTTCTGATAGTGATACCAGAAGAACTCACTTATATTTTTTTCATGGATTTTGTTTCCAAAGGCCCAAGTATGTCCATCGACACAGCCTGTTCCTCGGCCCTCGTTGCTCTGGACAATGCTTGCAAAGCAATTCGAAGTGGGCAGTGTGAATCAGCCCTTGTAGGAGGAGTCAATCTCATATTGAAACCCACCACTTCTGTGCAATTCATGAAGCTTGGGATGCTTAGTCCTGAAGGTGCCTGCAAGTCCTTTGATGCTTCAGGTAACACATTCATCGTTTGATTTAAGCAGGCTGTAGAAGCTGTCTACATATGAGTGGGGTTATACATTGGTGTTCTCATCATGGGCAACAAATACTGGAACTACAAGGATGTGCGGGGTTTTCTTGTGGAAGCCCTTTACAGAACTACATTGCAGGATTGTTTTAATGGCTCTGGATTTTTGCAGGGAATGGATATTGCCGTTCAGAAGCTGCTGTAGTTGTTTTCCTGACCAAGAAATCAATAGCGAAGCGGATTTATGCTACCATTGTCAATTCTGGTTGTAACACTGATGGATATAAAGAACAAGGTAGGTTGCTTTCCCTCTTTTAAGCCCCCTTCCACACATTTGAATACAATCCCACATTTTCTGCTCTGAACTGGAATATATGGCAGAGTGGACTCAGATCACCCAGTTCAAAGCAGATCCTGTGGGCTTTTCTGCCTTGATATTCTGGGTTATATAGCTGTGTGGAAGGGCCCTGAGTCTCAGAGTTTGTAAAACATCTAAGAAAAATAATGGGAGAAAATAGATGCAATGCATCTATAGCAAATGAGGGCATGTACAAATTGCTTCATTTTATAAATTCAAATGTTCCTGTTCTGCCTATATGAAAAACCTGCATTATCAGGCTGATCCAAGTTAGTGTTGTCTACAACGAAGTAGACAAATGTGGCACAAGCAGAGATATATTTTCACCCTTGCTCACCCCTTAATGGGATATACCAGCATGTCATCAGCAATCTGTAAGTGATCTCACATGTCCAGTCCCAGTTTTAGCTAAATTTGAGGAATTTTAAAAGGTTGGGGTTGAGGGAGCAAACTGCCATGTTTTCATGTTATTTTAATTTGATCCTCGTAGTTTAAAGGGAAGAAAATTACCAGGTCTGGAGACTTTTAGGGTATCCGGTGGGGTTGGTACACACAGAATAAGGACTGAAAGCTTCATGGAGTCTTTGGGCTATCCTTTACACAAACTGGCAGTGGCTCTATCGATATTCAGAATGGGTTTTTTTCTTAGCTGATCTGAAGATGCGAGGGATTGCATGCTCTCAGCTGCTCTTCAACATCATGTCTAGAAAAAAAGATGTTCCAAGTAAAGTTTGCATGCTGTGGATAGTGTCTTATTCTTCTGCCTGACTTCTTCATCTTTGAAATTTTACTTTGAAAATAAAATAAGTGGATACGTTCTTTGAATTTTAAATACAGTATTTTGTAAAATGCTAAATGCCAAATCAAAGTATAGAGGGCCATGTTGGAGCCAAAGAACATATACCAGATTGTTCTTTTAAAGAAAGCAATTGATTTTTGAAATGCTGTGCCATTTTTGTGATACTCAGCACATCACGGGCAATTTGTGGATTAACAGAAATAATAGTAATAGCAATAGTAATAGTGTACAGGTGGTGTTTTTGAACTTTCATAGTGCTTCATAATGACTTATATGAGTGAGATGAAAGGGGAGGAGGATTATTTCCCCAACTAAATGGAGCAGTTGCAGTGTTGGGACTGTTACTACTACTATTACCATATATACTCGAGTATAAGCCGACCCAAATATAAGACGAGGCACCTAATTTTACCACAAAAAATGGGAAAACATATTGACTCGAATATAAGCCAAGGGTGGGAAATGCAGCAGCTACTGGTAAATTTCAAAATAAAAATAGATAACAATAAAATTATGTTAATTGAGGCATCAGTAATTAAATGTTTTTTAATATTTACATAGAACTGTGATTTAAGATATGACTGTCCAACTCTGATTAAATCATTGTTCGCCCTTCTTCAATGTTAATCTGCTTACATACCCTTCCAATAATTACAATAGTTTATTTTAACTATACATTTTGGGGAATATGCTGTGTGTATATGAATAAGGAAAAGTGGGAAAGACTGGCGCTGAGAGAGGAAGAGAGGAAGGTGTGAGCTGCACTGAGAGAGGAGGAAGGGAAGATGCATGCTTCATGAGAAAGAGGAGGTGCACACTTTGTGAGAGAGGAGAGGAAGGAGAGCTGGGTTTCTGTGCAGAGAGGTGAGAGTCCTGGCAGGAAGGTGTGGGGCTGAAAGAAGCTTTTCTTTCAGCCCCACATCCTTCTGCCGGGACCTTCACCCGAGTATAAGCCTAGAAAAGGCTTTTTCTGCCTAAAAAGGGGAGCTGAGAAACTAGGCTTATACTCAAGTATATACAATATTTACTTTTACCTTGCAATACTTTATCACACAACTCCATACAGCACATGCATCTGGAGGCAAAGTCTGCTCGAAGGCAGATTTAGTAATCCTATGGATATGTGACTTCAAGTTAACTATGACTTGCAGTGTTTTCTGTAAAGAGTGTTTTCAGCAAGATTTATTTAAAGTAGCTTTGCCTTTGCTTTCTTCTGAAGCTGAAAGGTGATTTGGCCATGGTCACCCAATAGGTGTGTTGAGCAGGAATTTGAACCCTGGCCTCCTGGAGTCTTACTCCAGTATTTAAATCACTTATGGTCACTGGCTGTCTTCTGAGAAGTAAATCCCAAAGAGTTCAGTGGGACTTACCTCCAGTTAAATTAGTATAGGATTATGGCTTAAATGAGAAAGTACCAATAATTTCCACATAGGGAAACAGGATGCGATCTGTCATGTTGTTGCAGGCGTGACCTTCCCCTCTGGATGGATGCAGCAACAGTTGGTCAGTTCTCTGTACCGAGAGTCTGGGATTGAGCCTGAAGATGTTGAATACATAGAAGCTCATGGTACAGGCACAAAGGTTTGTTGTCTCTCTGTTTTTATTCTTTCATTTAGTATGAGCTTATCTTTTTTGTTTTCCTAAGAACTCCACTATCTTCTCTTTTCTTATTCCACTAGCTGAATTAACAGAAATTCAATTAGTCATCTGCGGTCTTCACAAGCTTCAGTCTAGTTCTAGCTACTTAACCATTTTATCTCGGGGTGTTTCAGAAATGTTGGGGCACAGATGGAATCACAATGTCAGATTCCTCAATATGAACAAATGTATTTGTATATATATTAATGAGAGAAAGAAAGGAGGAGCCACTTCTTTGATCGTAGACATGACAGTTGGATTCTTGCATGTACCAACCTGTTTCACCCCATTCACACCCTATTCTGTTGTATCCATCCATACAAAGTGATGTACAAGGTGTGGGAAAGTCGTCTGGCCTTGAGTGACTCTCAGATCTAGCCTGACTTCCTGCCATTCTTGGTTGTTAGGTTGGAGATCCTCAGGAAGTGAATGGCATTGTCAGTGTCTTCTGCCAATCAGACCGACCACCGCTGTTGATTGGATCAACCAAGTCTAACATGGGGCATCCAGAACCTGCTGCTGGCCTTGCTGCTTTAGCAAAGGTAAGAAACTACATTCACTGTCCCTACTCATGATGTGGTTGCATTCAGATGTGGTTGTGAAACTGGGGTGGGCCATTTTGCTGGGTCTGAGGGTCAGTTGTCTGCCCTGAACCTGGGAGCTGCACAGCCTACCAAAAACTCTCTGAGGATGTCCACTTCCAGTAGCACGACAGGGCTGGCAGATTGGAGAACTGAGACCCATGACTTTAGACCAAGGTCAGGATGATAATTTTGGAGAATCCCTTCTATTCTCTAGGTTCTTCGTAAATGTTAACGCAGACCCATTTATTCTCAATTATTTTGATATTGAATGCAAAGAGATGTTACAAAGTATATAACTAAGAAGCCTCCCTATATTATAAGCAAGAAAGAGTGATTTGAGAATATATATATCCCCTTAATGCAGACTATGGTGAACATTTCTGAATTTCAGTCATCTCGGGTTCTGTTTAAAAGGAAGTACATTTTTGCCAATCCTGGTTAGATCAAAATTATTTTAATAGCCTGTTTTCACTTCACAGTTACGTTTCTCTCTGTGTGTCATTTTCTTTCAGGTGGTCCTCTCTTTAGAACATGGTCTATGGGCACCTAACCTTCACTACAATACCCCAAATCCAGATATCCCTGCCTTACAAGATGGTCGTCTCCAAGTGATTACCAAACCGACTCCCACAAAAGGTCAAATAGTTGGTATCAATTCCTTTGGTTTTGGAGGTTCAAACGCCCATATCATCCTGAGACCCAACAAGAAGAAATTACCCCCACAGGAGACACCTCCGTGGCCACGATTGGTACAGTTTTGTGGAAGGACTCAAGAAGCTGTAGAGACATTAATAGAACACAGCAAAAACAATCAGGAACATATCTCATTTCTGAGCATGCTCAATGACATCTCTGGGATCCCTGTGTCATCCATGCCTTATAGGGGCTACACCTTGATTGGCAGTGAAAATGATGTGAAGGAAGTCCAAAGTGCTCAGTCGTCAGGGAGACCTCTGTGGTACATTTGCTCAGGTAAGCACATTCAGTCCTCTTCTCTTCTTGCTGGAAGCTTGATTATATGTGCCCAGCCTTCTGAAATTGCTAGGTTTATACTGCATGTTGTAGTGCTGATGAATCATACATATAGTATGTATGATTCATCAGCACTATGTAGTAGCCCCATGTAGATTTTCACTTTGTATGTAGATTAAAGTTATAAGGAGAGAGGGCATATTGGGTTGCTGTGAGTTTTCCGGGATGTATGGCCATGTTCCAGAAGCATACTCTCCTGATGTTTCTCCCACATCTATGGCAGGCATCCTCAGAGGTTGTGTGGTCTGTTGGAAATTAGGCAAGTAGGGTTTATATATCTGTGGAATGTCCAGGGTGGGAGAAAGAATTCTTATCTGCTTGAGGCAAGTGTGAATGTTGCAATTGGCCACCTTGATTAGCATGAATGGCCTTATAGCTTCAAAGCCTGGTTGATTGCTGCCTGGGGGGATCCTTTGTTGGATCATATTGTCACATTTGTTGCCTTTGACTTCTCTATCATTATTTCTGGTTGCTGTCAACTTGAGGAGTGTGAGAATCGAAAGAAGAGAACCCTTCCTTACTTGTATAAACTGTTCACATACATTAGAAGCTTGGAAAAGCTAGGTTCCAGCTGAGGAAGAGATTCTAGGCAGATAGCAGAGGCACCTGTAATCAGACTATATTCCTCCATGCATAGAAGGTCAGGAGAACTGAAGATGAAGAAGACAATGCCAGCACACTCCACCTCTTTGTATGCCTCATCTATAAGCAAAAACCACATGTCTGAATAGGATTATTGTAACATAACAGTTCCTTCCTTCTCAATATGAAGTGTGAAGGTAGATGTCTCCATGATGTCTCCAACTACCCATATTGGAACTGCTAAAGTTGCTGTTACGTTCTTATTCCATAGGCATGGGAACCCAGTGGAAAGGCATGGGTCTTAGCTTAATGAAGCTTGATCTATTCCATCAGTCCATCTTGCGTTCAGATGAGGCTCTCAAAGACACAGGTCTGAAGGTGTCTGATCTACTTCTGCATGCTGATGAGAACACATTTAATGAAACCGTTAATGCATTTGTTGGGCTTGCTGCCATTCAGGTAAGAATGAAAGATGTGTCATTCCTTTTTGGACTAGATGTATACAAGCAAGCTTTAAGAGTGGTGCTTCCTTTGACTTATGATCTCATAAATCAGTATACCGTAGTAACACCACATAATAAACATGCTGTGCCTACAACATATGCACATGATTGAGCTTAATCTTAGGCAGTGCCATCAGTTTTTATATGAAGAGTGACACTCCCTGCCTAATTAGTATAGAGTAGACAGAATGGGAAGAGAAACGTATCTGGAGCCTAGACTGTTCACAGAGTTGACCATGTTTTTTAAGATAACCAACTGAAGATCATGGGACTTTGTCAGTCATGTTCACTCAGATCACTGTTGTATTGCTCAAAAATAGAAAGTAATGCATGCCATATTTTTCAATATGGCATCTTGATATGAGAGATTGATTCTGTAGATAAAGCTGGAGATTGGAATGGGGTATTGGTGTAAAGGCAGATAAACAGGTTCCCCTCTCTGTAAGCCATAAGCAATGTTTGGAGAAAAAGGATGAGTAACATGGCCCAACAAACCAATCAACCAAAATGTTTGAAAGAGAGAGAGAGAGCTTTAAGGATCCATGCTATTCTTAAGCATCCTTACAGAGAGTTTAACAAATCTTTCAGGAAGCTAATAGTTGTGTTGTGTAGAAACTTATCAAAAGAAGATGGCTTATGCAGTTCTGTTTAATGTAAAACCCGGCTACATTTTGTTCTCTCCAGATTGCCCAGATTGATCTTTTGAAGGCAATGGGTTTGCAACCTGATGGGATCATTGGTCACTCAGTTGGAGAGCTGGCCTGTGGGTATGCGGACAACTCTTTAAGTCATGAAGAGGCCATACTTGCTGCCTACTGGAGGGGCCGCTGTGTCAAAGAGGCCAAACTGCCTCCTGGAGGCATGGCTGCTGTTGGTAGGTGGCCAAAAGCCCTTCTTTCCTTTCTCTTCAAGCTGTCTTTTGTCATATTTTCCTCTATAGTTAATAAGAAGTGTTCCTATTTGATTATCTGATGCACATGGGAGCAGGCTGAAGATGAACCTTTTGCCTTATTATTGCTCATAAGTAATGGTTGACTGCAGTTCCATACTATTATTTTGATCTAATGCATGCCATTAAGCAGCTCCCAACAGTAGAATAGTCCAGTTTTGCTTAGAAGCAAATACACTTGTACCAACAGTACCCTGAGGTGTGGCTGATTCCCTGTCTTAGACTCACATGTTATTTTTTTTTACTATAACTCCCAAAGTCCGTGGTCAGTGGGACTTGACCAAAAAATTATTCCCCTCCCCCAAACTCCACTTACCTGTACCTAAACTTAACTGAGTGGTTTCTTTGGGTTAGCAAGGTTGTGTTGATGCCTTGAAAAGTTAGATAACATAGCTGCTCTATTGATCTGTGACACAGGAAATTAAGATATAATAAAAGTACTGGTATCTAGTGGGGAGCCCCAGGTGGTGCAATGGGTTAAACCCTTGTGCCAGCAGGACTGCTGATCGAAGGGTTGGTGGTTTGAATCTGGGGAGTTGGGTGAGCTCCCATCTGTCAGCTCTAGCTTCCCATGCAGGGACATGAGAGAAGCCTCCCACAAGGATGGTAAAACATCTGGGTGTCCCCTGGGCAATGTCATTGCAGATGGCCAATTCTCTCACACCAGAAGTGACTTGCAATTTCTCTAGTCACTCCTGACACAAAAAAAACAAAAAACAAACCTGGTATCTAGTAGTGTCCATGCTAAAATAAATTAACCCAGAGTTCAACCCAGCTACAGGATATTGCTCCCTAGCTTCCAGTCATATTATCCAAGAGTAATTGTGTCATCTCTCAGAAAGTTTGTTGGAAACCTTCGGAAACAGAACAGTTTAGAGTATTGCAAGAACTGAATTGTAACAAAGTATCTGGTGGGGCATTTCTGTTACAATGTACCTGTGTGTTTGTGCCTTCAGGTGGCCTGTCAGCTTAAAGTGGTCCATGAATGTCATAGGGTTTTCTTAGGCAAGCAGTTCTCAAGAGATGGTTTTGCCCCATCACTCCCTCTGAAATATAACCTACAGCGCCAGGTATTAATTGGCAGTCTCCCACCCAAGTACTAAAACTGGTGATCGGTAGACCCAGATGTGGTCAAACTTTCATGTTTTTAGGAATGTTTCTGACTCCTGTAACCAGCAAAATAATTACACTATGCTGCTGCTTTAATAGACTTGGTCTGGATCTATACTGGCTATGTAATGTAGTTTGAAACTACATTATATGATCAGGGCAGATTTATATAATGCAGTTCAATGCAGTTAAGCTGCATTATATGGCAAAGAGTCAGCAATAAATCCAACTTTTTAGAGCATTCAGTTTTAAATCAAGGCACGCTAGGAGCATCTGCCTTGCTTAGAGTAGATTTTCACTTCTGGGGACATTATTCTGTTTGAAATAGTATGTGTGCACTCCCTGTGTGCATTGATTTAAATACACTCAAAAGTTACCGCTTTTTATTGCCATTGTTTCTATACCATTTATTTTGGGATAGCAGGGATCATTAAAATAGGAACAAGGTAAATATTGTATACCCCTAAAGTAATATGTTAGAGACTGCCGCTAACTTTCTATATCATTGAGCAAGTCATGCTTCATTATCTCTGTCACTGGTGTGATGAAGTTAGATGTTAAGTATGATCTACCTCACCAGGTTATTATGCAGGTGGTTGAGCTACAAGATTGTAAAACACTTAATATATAACTACTACTACTAGTAGTAGTAATAAAATCACAGCTCATGTAGATCCTTATCTTAATTTCAGAGAGGCACTGATGGAAGTGAATGTTTTAAAAATAACCCTAGTGTAGGCTTACTGTGAGTTTTCTGGGCTGTATGGCCATGTTCCAGAAGCATTCTCTCCTGATGTTTCACCCACATCTGTGGCAGGCATCCTCAGAGGTTGTGCCTGTGAAACATCAGGAGAGAATGCTTCTGGAACATGGTCATATAGCCCAGAAAACTCACAGCAACCCAGTGATTCCGGCCATGAAAGCCTTCGACAACACATTACCCTAGTGTATATCAAGTCTGGTCTTTTAGTCTAGTGATTCTCAAACTCTGTTTCTTCAGATGTTTTGGACTTCAGCTCCCACAATTCCCTAACAGCTGGTAAGCTAGCTGGGAATTCTGAGAGCTGAAGTCCAAAACACCCAGAGGAATAGAGTTTGAGAAACACAGCTTTAATCCAATAGTAAAGTTAAAAGACAGATTATCTGTTTTGATAATCTGGATTGTATAACAGCATAGAAGGGGCCTTAGAATGGTATTAGTGTAAGTATTGTTTTTTGTGGCAAAGCAGTATTGGAAGTGATAATGACTATATAGGCTTTAGATGGACCATGTTTATGTGACTTGAAAGAGACACAGCTTCCTATAGTGCCCACACAGCATTTCCTTTGTTAAACTGTTGTCTCTGATCAAACAGGTTTTGCAAGTTTTTGAAACAATACAAACATCTGCCAAACCTGTTTACCTTAGGCCACTGTGGGATGAATGCATACATCATGAGCTATGATCCCTTTTTCCAGCCTCCCTTCAATTATCTCTTCTTTTTAAAAAGGCCATGATTTCCCATCATTCCCAGTTACTACAAGAATTATAACTAGCAATCTTATCTTAATAGTAGTGACATGTATGTCAATTAGGTATTTCACCATCTTATGGCCATTACAGGATTTTTCAAAAGTCCTGCCTACTGAGTGATTTTAGGGTTGCCACATTTTTTGGTTGAGCTGAAAGTTCAGCTGTCAGTTTCAGTCAATCAGGATGGAACTAAACTGCAACTTAAGCAGTCTGCTCTTTTACACGTATGATTTGATGGAAGTGTTTATTTCTCAAAGCTATTTGAAAGGTATACTTCCGGGATAATTGAAAGAGTGGAAGAATCCAGAACTTTAATTCAAGCAACTTTAAATGTTGGGTCATTTTGATGCGAGACAAATGTGCAGATAGGTTGTTGGGCTTTCAGTCATATATACAGAGTAAGCACTGAGCATAGATTTAGCAAATTGAGAGGATGATTGATCCTTGTACAACTTGGGGTTTAGCCATGCTGTGTGGGGATGATGGGATCTATAATCTATTATACACTTGGAAAGCAACCAGGTTGGAGAAGGAAGATTTCAAACAAAGTCAAAGCTCTGTTAGCTGCTTTTATAAGCAAGTTGAAAAATGGCCTTCTGTTTACAGCAATTAATTGGCCATTTAATTTGCTTATTCCCCCATTTGACTTGTTTTCTAAATATCTTGCAAACTTGTGGAATTCTGTATTTCTGATTTTTAGTAAATCTGATTAAGACTGAATTGTTCATTAAGGGAATTCTATATTACTTGCTTGTGGAACATTATATGAGATTTGGAGAACACTGAGGAAAATGTGCTTCTTTCCCACTTATCAACCCAATATTATGATGCAATTTGAAATGATACCAAAGGAATCAATGTGTTCCCAATCTAGCATGGAAATGAGAAACCAGAAAACCAGGGTTGATGAGCTTCACTTGTTCCTTAGGAGAACTTTTTAAAATAAGTACTCCAAAATGGTGTGGAGTCATCCAAAGCAATTTATGTTTTTGCAGGTATGACATGGGAGGAGTGCAAGCTCAAGTGCCCTCCAGGAGTGGTGCCTGCCTGCCACAACTCTGAGGACACAGTCACCATTTCAGGACCTCAGGTGAGAATGCAGCATGAATGATGACTTTCTCTGTTGTATAGTTGAGACATCTGCTGGCATCTTCCTCATCATGGGTATTTTACCTGAGCTAAATCTCAGGGCATTTCCAGACAGCCTCAAAATGTGGGTTTTAAAAGTGGGGCAAAAATTCCCAGGACCTGACAGCAAGTTCACACACAGACCTGGTCTGCATTTTGAGAAAGTCCTGGGAAATAGTCCCCTGCCATTCTGACACCTTCCTTTGAAATGGATCAAGATGGAGGACAGACGGGCGAAGTTGTTTTTTAAAAAAAATCTCTTCGAGATGTCCGCACATGCAGACATCCCAAGGTTCAAACAAACAGATTCCTTTTTTCTCTTCACCCAACTGTTAATTCAAGCTCTATTTAATATTATAGACATCAGAACGAAGGAATGGTTGAAGAGAGTTCTAATTTGCTTTCCATTTATGTTTCCCTTGAACCACCTGTGTGTCCACGGCTCCATTTTATGACAGCCCAATCAGTGGTTTCAGGCTTTTAAAACTTGTGCTCTGGAGCAGTCCACACAGGGAGATGGGAAGGAAGTCAAGTGTTTTGCATGACTGCAGGGATATACAGTCATACAAAAGTGCACATTTTGGGACAGAATCAGATTTTAAGATCAAATTTTAAACATGTGCTTTTCAGCTATTAACCCAATTCCACCCGCACTTTCCCCAAATGTCGTTTAGCCACACACACCCTTTTATCCCGGTTACTTCCTGGTTTTACTGCATGTGTAGAAGGGCCCTCAGTAGGTCTGGAATGAATCAGCAACCAGTGCAGATGGCACAGAAGTGGCATATTATAATTTTGTTGACCAGTTCCTGCTAGTTCATTGAAGCTTCCCAACATATTTCCAAAGAGAGGGCCATGTTTAAAGCATAGCATTAGTCTGCACAGAGCAACTTCAACCTTTTCTCTTCTCCATATATATTCTTCTTAGATTATTGGTTCTCAGAAAACAAGTGTTTTAACAATGGTGGAGAATTATTCTCTGCCAAAATGATGAGCATGTGTTATTGTGTGGGGGAAGTGTTGTGTCTCTGTCTCCCCTCACACAGAGAGAAAAACACACACACACTGTCATATACTCTCTGACAAACACACACCTTTTCCTTATTGGAGTTTCTTTCAAAATCCAAAGTGGATTTCAGTGTACATAAAATGAGAAACATCGATATTTACTACAGGGATATTAACATTTCAGGTTTAAATAACAGCTGTTACTACCTACATGTAGAATTATTTAACATGTGAGCAAATATGGATCATAATGATTACTTTATAGCAGCAGATCCCAAATCGACCCCACAAGAAGCAGTGAATTGTGATGACCTGCCATGTTTTCTTGCAGCAGCAATTAATGCCTGTTTTTCATTCCTTTCTTTAGAGTCTGGTGTCCCAGTTTGTGTCTAAACTGAAAGCAGAAGGTATATTTGCCAAAGAGGTGCTCAGTGCTGGAGTGGCTTTCCATTCTTGCTATATGGCATCAATTGCACCAGTCCTACTTAGTGCACTACAGAAGGTAAAACTCCTTAAGGGCTTCTCATTGGGGGAGTAGTGCTTTTGGTCAGAGTTGTCCAGTTTTTGTGTGGCATTTGCTTGATGCTGCCTGTCTCCTGTTTCCCCTTATAGGTTATTCCCAGTCCAAAGCCACGTTCACCTCGCTGGATCAGCACCTCCATCCCTGAATCTCAATGGCAAACTGAACTGGCTCAGTATTCCTCTGCCGAGTACCATGTGAATAACCTTGTCAGCCCAGTCTTGTTCCAGGAAGGCCTGCGACATATCCCAGAAAATGCTGTTGTAGTGGAGATTGCCCCACACGCCCTTTTACAGGTATTACCCTTGGTGACAGTCAATGGGAGGAAACTATACTTTTTCCTCTCCTGCTCTTATTCATAGTACTTCCAGATACTGTACTCCATATAGCTTTTCCTCTCACATTTAGTAATCGGAGTGCTTCAATTTCCCTCTGTGCATAACGTGAATTTTCTGAAACTAAGGACAGAGACCAAAATCTTATTCAGTGCCAACAATGATGGCAGCAACAGCAGTGGTGTGTATGTATGTGGTTGGCTGGTAACTTACTGACATTCCAGGGATGTTGTGGTAGCCACTCCTCCTGTGGAGCCCAGGGGGCAGAGCTGTGTGGGTTTGCCATTCAGCAGATGCAGAGGCAGCTTGTGCAAGGAAGGAGTGGATACCTTTTTATGCACATTTCAGCTGCTAGCACATTTTTCAGCTGCTAGCATAACTTCCTAAGATGATTCCAGGTGGTGATGAGCCTTTTATTTTGCAAACCTCCTGTTTTCATTCACAGTATCTTCTGGCAGAGGGGTAAATGTAGCATTTGTAACCCTTTCATATTTAAAGAAGAAAAATCAGAGAAGCTACAAAGTGTCTTTTTAACTGATATTGCTTGGAACCTTTAACTGAAAATGCTCTGGAATCAGTTACAAGCATTTGATATAATACATGGGAGCAATGTAGGGGGGGAAATGACAGGAAGCCATAAGCATTTCAGGATGTGAAACTGTCATATTTTATTAAATAATAGTGGATCAGTCTGGCAGTGGAATAGGTGAGCAGAGAGGTGGCCCTTTGTGTGTCAGGGGCCATGGGAGACATGGGTATATGGATGTGTTTGTATTAGGATTGTGGGATTCACTCGCAAAGGAGACCTGCTTAGTTTTATGGCCTTAAATTCCTAGAGGGACCTTAGTCTGTTTACTAGAGTTCACTTTAATGGCTAAATTTGCTTAGTATCATTTTGTTTTTCATTGTTTTTATTGTGTGTGTGGGGGGGGGGGGTCTTTCTATTTGATTGGTACTGGAAGAGTCTTTGCTCCATTCAGTGATTTCTGAAATGTCTTCAGGTTGCTTTAAACTATTAATCATGTGTTGTTGGTAGCAAAAAGTCTTTATCTTTAGTAGTTCCTCTGCAAAATTGGTTTCATAAGGAATAGAGATGGATACTGTTTTCCAGAAAGAGAAGTTTTGATTGTCTTATTGTGATTTTTAGAAATGACAGTAATGACTTGGCATTTGTTATTTTGAGCCACTAGGCAAGTTCCAAAGAAATAGACATATACACTTCTCCTGGGCTACATTACTTTTATGGAACATTGAACTGCTTTATTTCATTGGTTAAATTCATTCCTAAAACAACCAAAAATTGAGAGACCTCCTGAATTGAGCTTTCCATCAGTGGATTTGTGTGGATATGCAGGATAACTCAAGAACCAAGCAAACACAATCCGATACATATCTCTTCACATCTATGCCTTGCTGATTACAGTGGGGCTGTACAAGATTGTTGCCTGAGAAGGGCTCCTGTGACTTCCACTTCTTCCCAAGTTTCCTGTAAGAGGAAGAGCACTGCAGATGTAGTTTCCCAGCACCTCAGAAACCCTTGAGCATTTGTTTAAAGACTGGCAAGAAACAGTTCAAATACCTGATCCTAATATTCAATTGAATCTTTGGAATAGTTTCCAAAGGAACAATGTGTACAGAAATCCAAACAAACGATTTTGATTTGACATAAGAGTAGCATTTTGAGATAAGAACTAGCGCCAGAGGGGAGTGCAAGTGTGAGAGTACAGACCTTGAGGGCTTCAAGGGAGCAGCCTCCATGCCTTGTGCTCTTCTTTGCTTTCGGAGATTGCTGTCTGCTTTGTTCTTGTCCACTTTGAGGAGCTTTGGGTTAGTTCATTTTGTGTGGTTTTTATTCCTGGTATGTTTGACTTCATGAAGAGAGGGAGGGAGGGAGAGCAAAGAGAGGGATGATCCCTAGAGGAGGAAGGTGGGAGGTGGTTTTTGCTGATTCCACTTTGAATTCCACTTACCCCTTCTAAATCTCTGTTCAAGTGAGTTAGCTTCCAGGATGGTACTGAAAGTAAAATTATTTCAGTGATAGCATTCACTTAATTAAAAGCTCATCTGTAAATGGAAGGGCAATGGGTAAGTCTTTTGTCTTTATACAATGAATACATAGCTTGGATCTACACTGCCCTATAACCCAGGATCTGATCCCAGATTATTTGCTTTGAACTGGATTATATGAGTCTACTGCCAGATAATCTGGGATTAGAATATAATCTGGGATTAGATCCTGGGATATAGGGCAGTGTAGATCCAGCCATAGTTGTCTTTCATATTTTGTGGTGGTGTTGGAGATTACACTGTAGTCTTCCAGACTCAATCAGAAATACTTTGCTGCTGCAGTCCAGTTTGTGCATCCAATGTATTTGGAGTACTGGGTGTGATTTGGTTTTAAGGACTTGTGTGCAGGGCCTGTGATATCGTCATTCCTGCTAAAAGCCAACCCCTCTTCCACTGTGCTCGTATCATTTTGTGGACTTTTAAGAACATTTTTGTTCAGTTTTAGCATTTACATTTTTAGAAAGCAGTGTGTTCTTTCTCTGAGACAATGAAAAAATCTCCTCTGTTTTATCTTTTTATACACATACATACACTGTTAACTTTCTTTCTCGGTCATTTGGGGATAGGATATTTGTGCTACTGACACTGCAACTGCTGATGTTTAGAGCTGAAAGGAGTGTGGGTTTTTAATAAATCAGCATTGCATTGAAAGCATGAAAGGGCAAAAAGGAGATTAGGATCTATTAGTACAGTAGTTCTCAACCTGGGGTCCCCAGATGTTTTTGGCCTACAACTCCCATAAATCCCAACCAGTTTACCAGCTGTTAGGAATTCTGGGAATTGAAGGGCAAAAACATCTGGGGGGCCCAGGTTGAGAAGCACTGTTTAGTAGATCTCAGGGTAATCTGAAGCACTTTGAGGGGGATTTCCTTAAAAAAAACCAATAATTCAAAGGCGTCCTTCTGATGTTCTCATCAATGCAATTCTGTGCGTGTTTAACTGGGATCTAAGTCCCAGCATGTTCAACTGGACTTAAGCACAGATAATTGCATATAGAATTTGCACTTTAATGAGACTGTGTGAATTGAGAGTGGATTCTGAATGACTGAGGGCCCTTCCTGACATGACTAAATCCCAGGAGAAACTGGGATATTATATTCCAATTTCTCCCAGGATTTAGTCCCCACACCCATCCTAAACCCTGGGCTTTTCTTGGAAGGGTGACTACATGCTCTCCCGGGTCAACCAGAGGTTGAGAGCCAGCCCCCAACCTGCCATTTACCAATTTATAAAATAAACTTACCTGAGGGATCTGGCTGCATATTCAGTCCCCTCTGTTGAAAGCTATTGGCATGTCAAAACAATGCATCAGTAGGTTGGGAGAAAGTAGGAGGGATTTCAGGTAAGTTTAGGGGGTAAATGGAGGATTGGGAGGAGAGGGTGCAGATGCCATCATGCTCTTTCAGGCTCCAGGTGCCCAAAGATTGCTGTGGGGATTGACCCCATAGAAGCAGTCCCTATAGTCAGCTCCCACAGGGCCCATATCTGGAAAGATCTGGATCTTACATTAAAGTCTGGATTTTTCCAGGTGTTTAATTAATCCAAAGTAAACTGGGAAATCCTAGTTCACTGTGGATTAATTCGCATTTACCTGAGGCACCAATTGGATTGCCTCAGCTAAACCCATAATAGGTCGTGGGTTAAAGACCTGTCTGGAAGGACCCTGAATTTTCTTCTGATACTGAATATAAATGGTTGAGGTATGCATTCGTTTAGAGTCTTAATTTTCAGAGTATGTCTGCACTCCATAGTCACTTTTGTGACTCTGGTTCCCACTGGTAAAACCAGGAGTATGACAAAATGACAATATCTAACATGGGTTTAGTCTGTATATTCTTGGAATCTAAAGTGAAATGAAACCCTTTCAGTCAATTCTGCTTAAAAGGCACTATTGGGGAGGGAGAAAGGAAGAGCAGGATGCACCAGAAGAAGAGTTGTTTATTATGAAAGGAAGGTTGCAACATTTTTATGACTTTGGTGTAGTGCTTTATGCTTTGGTATAATGTTGAGATTTATTTCCTTCTTTTAGTCTAAGGGTGGAGTTGCTGATATTGCTTTTTGTATGGCTGATAGCTTTTCCTGGTGTGGCAATGAAGTGGGAAGAAAAGTTTTACCTAACTAATTTCTGGATTCCAGTCACCTATCAATGGGATTAGCTACCTCAACTAGGGTAGTTGATTCCCTAGATATAGTGCAATTTTAGAGGAAGTAAGTTCTTAGAGTTTTCTGATAATATTTTTAACTTTCTAGGCAATCCTAAGGAGAGCTTTGAAGCCAACCTGCACCATTTTACCCTTGATGAAGAGGGAACATAAAAATAACCTGGAGTACTTCTTGACACATGTTGGAAAAATCCATATGACAGGGTAAGGGAAAGTTTATTCATTCATATGTATAGTATTATTAAAAAGCAGAATATCTCTCTGGAATTTCAGAAGACCATAACAAAATAGGAATAGAAATTATTCAACCGCCTGCAATTTTGGTGTGTAGTAGAAATTCTGTTTTCCTCCACACTCCTTCAAGAATAGAAAGTATTGTGCTTTTTCAGAAGAGTAGGGGGGGGGGGGATGTATTGCACTGGGATATTCCTGGGCCAAGCCTACTCTTCACTATAGGCCTATCACCCATGAATACCTGTATTATTTTTAGGACTATTGGGTAAACATTCATTAAATCTTTCCTTTTGTGTTCTCAGAATAAACATCCTTGCAAACAACCTGTATCCACCAGTGGAATATCCTGCTCCTATGGGAACTCCATTCATCTCCCCATACATTCTCTGGGACCACAGTCAGACATGGGATGTGCCCAAAGCTGAAGACTTCCCAACAGGCTCCGGGAATTCTGGAGCAGCAACAGTCTACAATATTGGTGTGTACTGGAAATTGTACGCATTCCTCTCCGATCCTTACTCCCTGCAAAAATAGAAATCTGAAGAGGTCAAAGTAAGAGTATTGTCGAAGGCTTTCATAGCTGAAATCACTGGGTTTTTGTAGGTTTTTTGGGTTGTATGGCCATGTTCTAGATGCAGGCAAAAACATCAGGAGAGAATGCTTCTAGAACATGGCCATACAACCCAAAAAACCTACAACAGCTCAGAGTGTTTCTAGCTTCTGACTGGAGAGAATGCATGACTCATTTAATGCTTTGTGTCACTACTTTAGCAAGAGAAAGATGTGCTGATGGGCAAAGGAGGGGGAAAGCATCCTCCTTTGTTTGCAGCAGTAAAGCCTGCATGGTGGGAGGAAAAGTGAGAATGTTTGCATTTGAATACCTTAAATACCTTTTGGGTCTCTTTGAAACAGACTTTGCTTTGGAGTTCTGAAAGCTATGTTTTCTTCTTTTCTATGATTGCTGGCAGATGTGAATCCTGAATCAGCCGATCATTATTTGGTGGGTCACTGTATTGATGGCCGGGTCCTGTACCCAGCAACTGGCTACCTGGTACTGGCCTGGCGCACTTTGGCACGCTCTCTAGGCACCTCCATGGAAGAAATGCCCATCATCTTTGAGGATGTTACAATCCACCAGGCAACAATATTGCCAAAGAAAGGTGAGATCAGTCAAGTGTCTCCCTCTCAGGTACAATATGATCAATGTGGGGACTGATTCTTGGAATGGCAGTACCTCAAAGCTGAATTAACATAGTCTGGTGAAATCATTCCTTAAATGAAATAACACAATATGATCACAGGACAGGGAGCTTAAATCTTGAAAGAGCTATTGTTCTAGTAGGCATACTGTGGCAAGAGAATATTGCTATATGTAGGACTGGATTTCCTGGCCAATTAACCCTATGTTGGGATATTTCAACAACTAGGAAAGCAAGCAGAACTGAGGGCCCTTCCACACAGCCATATATCCCAGAATATCAAGGCAGAAAATCCCACATTATCTGAGTATGGACTTAGCTAACCCAGTTATGTAAGACCCTGAAACTCTTCTGATATGGAGTCAGAGGGTCAGTGGTTGGGGACCCCAGTGGCACCTCACAGGATCCTGAATGGCTTCACCCTCCATGCCCTCTATAATAATAATAATAATAATTATTATTATTATTATTATTATTATTGTTATTATTATTATTATTAATCACTTTATTTATACCTCACCTTTCTCCCCATGGGGACTCAAGGCTAACAATCCCACACTTTAGTCAAGTTTAGAAAGCACAATACCAGATTCATAGAAAGAGATACGGTCCTTCAGATAACCTGGATCAGAGCTATATAGGGCTTTGTAGGTCAAAACCAGCACTTTAAATTGTGCTCGGCTGCTGCTCTTCGGACCAACTGAAGTTTCTGGGTAGACTTCATTTTTCAATATTCTTTTAAATGTGTTTATTGTTCAATTGCCTCACCATGTCCCCAAGGCCTGACCTTCTAACTTAAAAAGTACTTCCTCTGTACCTAAAACTTCCCAGGAAGAGTTGTGAAAGGCATTTATCGCCAAATGATTAAGATAGATTAAGGATTTATTGACTAATATAAGACTGGAGAATCAATTAATTGTGGGATTTATGAACTAATAATTTCTCACTGAATTTAGAAGTGTGATTATATACTATCTCTTAAAGGGAGTAGACTAGTCAGAATTACAAAATCATCAGACAGAGTGAAGGTTTGTAGATTAGTTCAATTAGTTTTTACATTTGTTCATTAGTTTTGTTTTATGTGTTTATTTTGTGTATTAGTTTGACTTAGTAGTTGTGTTAACTGTTGTGGGTTAATGTTTTATATTAAGAAAAAATGCTTGTGTGTTTGATGTAATTTGTTTCTCTGCATATGTCTTTGTATAATGTATGTTTGCTTCATTGAATAAAAAGTAATATGCGAGGGTACTGGGGTCTTCAAACTGCCTCAGGGCTACACCTAACCCATAAACCACATTTTCCTCTCTTGCTCTAATATCTTCTCAATTTCTGACTACTTTGCAGGCGTAACACAACTAGAAGTAAGACTCATGCCTGCTTCCCAGCGTTTTGAGGTGTCTGGAAATGGAAATCTGGCTGTAAGTGGTGAGTAAATACATTCAGTGCAGGTGCTGCGGAGAAAACAAAGCAGCTGTGTGGTCCTGATGACTGACAACTCGTTGTCTTGTATGGATTTATCTACCAGGAAAAATATCTCTTTTGGAGGAAGCTGCTCTAAATAACTTCCGTAACCAGCAACTTGACTTGGGGAGTCAGCTGAACCCAGACATTCACTTATCGAAGGGGGACATTTACAAAGAGCTTCGCCTGCGTGGGTACGACTATGGGCCGACATTCCAGGGACTCTTGGAATCCAGTAGCGATGGTAATTACAAAACTCCGACCTGGAAAATTGTGTTAAGCATTGTCACTCTTGCTTTTGAGCTTTCTGAAGAAAGACACAGATCATATTTGCTTGAATGCAAGGCAAAATCTTCATGTGATCCTGACAATGCAATGTTCATCACTGCACTGAAGAATTTTATGAAGGGATCAGGAATTGAGGGGAGGGAGACAGAGTATGCACTGGATGATCTAGAAATCATGCGGATATGATTTACTGACCAACCTAGCAAAGGAATCTTGTCAAAGTTCTTACTGAAAGCCAGGAGCTACAATTTACTTGGACAGTAAATTGTAGTTTCTGGCTGACTGTGTAATAGAGATACCATTCCAGTGATGTTTGTTTGCTTAATGAGGTTGTTTCTCATCCGCAGGGAATTCAGGGAAGGTGTTGTGGAATGGGAATTGGGTCACATTCCTGGATACCCTGCTGCACTTGATCATCTTGGGGGAACTGGGAAGAAGTCTGCGCTTGCCAACCAGAATCCGCTCCGTTTGCATTGATCCCAAACTACACAAAGAGCGTGCACAGACATACACCGATGAGATAGAAGGTAATGACTTTTCTTTTCTTTTTTTTTCTTTGCTGGTACAACCCAGTAACTTTATGGGAGCCAATAATTTAAAGTTGCATTGTCTCTTCAAGCGGAAAGGTAGATTTCTGGAAGTACACCTATTAGCAACTGAAGTTTCTTTGCAGATGTTAGACTGAATTCTAAGAGGGGCTTTGCTGTCTATTTCCACGCTTTATGTCTTCTCTCTTTTTGCCATACAGCTTTCGATGCTGCTGTAGATCGCTGCCTTGATACTATCACAGCAGGTGCTGTTCAGATATGTGGTCTTCATGCCAGTGTGGCTCCTCGACGGCAGCAGGAACAGACCTCGCCCACACTGGAGAAGTTTTGCTTTGTGCCCTACATGGAGGATGGTTGCTTGTCCTCCAAAGCTCAGCTTCAGTCCAGCTTTGAACATTGCAAAGGTAAGATACATTTCCATCCCGATAATTACTTTCAGAGTAATTACACTATGACAAAAGAAGGCATCAGGGCCATGAAATAAAATGTATTGGCTTAGGTTTGCTTGAGTAGTAATCTGAGACCTGTTAAACGCAGGAGTCAGAGACAGCTGAAGGCATGTCAGTTTGCTAAGAAAACACAGGATGCTGATTGTAGCTTCATGTCCTTGGAGCACGCAAAAAGTAATTGTTCCAGTGCTTCCAAATTACAACAGACACATTTGGGCTATAACTGGGAGAAATCCTAGTCCACAGGATATAGATGTTGCAGTATAGCCTACTGATATAATTGGTATTCTTTGAGTGACACTGAGCTCCTCTGGTTGAGAATCCTGTGAGTTGTCGTTTGAGGAGGCACAAGCTTTGGTCTGCAATAACATATGCTATCAACTTCTTTCTCAGTTGGACTCAGAGGGCAAAGTCCTGCCCTATCGTGGTTATTTTTGCAGATCTCAGCCTCTCCAGAAACCCTAGACTGCCTATTGGCTAGTCCAAGAAACAAAAAGCTCCAAGAGCATCAATTAACCTTCTAAATGATTGTGCTCCATACCAAAGCAGATCAATTTTGAATGTTTTTATCTTCAGTATGTTTTTGTAGAATTTGCTGTATTTTATGATGTTTTCAGCTATTGTTATTTTGTTTGTTAAGTTTAATTAGGCAGTGTTATATTATCGAATGTGTTTATTTTATTGTAATTTGTATGATTTCTTTCTGGCAATTAAATGTTTGCCTATATGTTGTAAACCGCTCTGAGTCTCTTTGGGGAGATAGGTCAATATACAAATGAAGTATTATTATTATTATTATTATTATTATCATCATCATCATCATTATCATGATCATCATCAAAAAGTCAATATAAACAACCTATGCGTTTCAAAGTCAGGAAAGGACTATCCACTTCCAGATTTTTTTGCCACTTCTGACAGCTTTTACAGGGTCCCAGAGAAGAAAAGTGGAGTCCTGAATTTATTTGTATAAACTGAGAACAATAACATACAATTTAGAATTATTTGAATTGCTTGTAATTTACATAGATGATTGGTTACATGTACAACCATGTCTCAGTTAAATGAATTCTGTGGAAAAAATACTTTATCATTTTGTTTTGGGTAGCACCAGTGATGCTGAGATTTTGAAATATGTGGCTTCTTTCCTACAGTGTTGATTCAGAGCTTACAAAAGAAGATAGCAAAGCATGGAGTCAAGTTGGCTATCCCAGGGCTTGAGAATGCAAAGGTCTCTCCGCAGTCAGAGCCTGGACAGAAAGGTCTTGCACACATTCTTGCTGAAATCTGCCGCCTGGAGCTCAATGGAAACCTGCACTCCGAACTCGAACAAGTTGTAACTCGGGAGAAGCTGCATCTTCAGGAAGACCCCCTTCTCAATGGCCTGCTGGATTCTGCTGCCTTGAAATCTTGTGTAGATTTAGCACTGGAGAACATTACAGGTTACAAGATGAAAATAATAGAGGTGGGTTGTGGCACAGTTCTGTGCAGCTTGTAACTCTGAACTATTTGTCTGTGGGTTAATTATGGACTAATGAGCAGGAATAAGATGGAAATGTATGTTAGCTGATACTTTAAGGAATTAATACAGATGGTTCTGGATTCCCGTCGTCAGGTGGAAACCACAAGATTTTAAACTCTTTTTAATTTTTCAAATTATATACCAATAAATGTATGTGCATGTTTTAGAAATGTACACAGGCATAGGTACAATCCATTAGGAAAATGCATGAAAGTACACAATAAAATGCATGCAGCAGGGAAGTCCAGATCAAAATATGTGTACATTTCTATGCAGAAAGGTAGAAAAAAGTTTGTAACCTGATACGGAACTCCAAAGGAATGGGAATTATGGTGAAAATCTAGGGGAAAAACAATAAGAAATCATAAAATGTTTAAAAATTACAGATTAGCTTTTTATTGACCCCACAGGTTCTGGCAGGAAATGGGCATCTATACTCACGTGTCACAAGTATCTTAAATACTCAACCAATGCTTCAAGTAGACTATACCGCCACTGATCGAACGCCAGAAATCCTGGCATCAAAAGAGACCCATTTGCAGGAAATCGGTGTTTCCACTGACTTGTGGGATCCTGTTAACCCTCCTTCTGGAAATCTGGCAAATGCTAACCTCTTAGTTTGCAATTGCTCCTTGAATACTTTCAAGAATCCAGCAGAGGCGCTCTCCAACATGGCAACAACCCTGAAAGAAGGTGGCTTTATCTTATTGCATACTCTCCTAAAAGATCAAATTCTGGGAGAAATCGTTGGTTTCCTTACTTCTCCAGAGCTTCAAGAAAAACCAGGTCTTCTGACTCAGGTATATTATAAACTATCTTGTTTCTTCTTTGGTTTCTCTATATACTGTTTTGTTCAGTAGGCAGACATTTGGATGTGTTAAAAATAATTGTATTGTTGTTCATGGTATTGATTCCTAGCAAATAACAGCATAATTTTGTTCAAGAGACGTTACTAACAGGTTGGTGTGTATATAAGGAATTGGCAACATGCAGTCAATGGGCCACAGGTGGCTCCAAAGGTCTGCCCCTAATCCCATTAAATGTTTTTCTTAAAATAAATTTAATTCCCCACACCTGAATGTCTCCAAAATGCAGGGCCTGCAAGTAAGTCCTCCAAAATTCAGGAAAAAAACAAACATGTAGAGTCATGGAATCACAGAGTTTGAGGAGACCATTCCGAAACCCACAATCAAAGCATGGCCATTTAGTCTCTGCTTAGAAACTTCCAGAGAAGGAGACTCCACCACGCTCTAAAGCAGCAGCATATTCCACTGCCAAATAGCGCTTAAAGTCAGGATATTCTTCGTAATGTTAAAGTGGAATCTGTTTTCCTACAATATGTCTCCATTGCTCCATGTTCTAGTTTCCAGAGCAGCAGAAAACAAGCCCTCTCCCTCTTCCTTATGACATTCTTTCAAACATGGCTATCCTGTCCCCTCCTAGCCTTCTTTTCTTCAAGCTAGATAGACTCAGGTCCCTAAGCTGTTCCTAATAGAGCTTAGCTTCCAAATTTTGAATCATTTTGGTTGCCCCTCTTTGGAGATGTTCCAGCTTGTCAAAAACCTGCCCAGACCTGGACACAATGCAAATCCAGGTGAGGTCTGACCAAAGCAGAATAAAGTGGGATAACAACAACAACTTTTCTTTGTTACCTGCCTGCTCATGGATTGAGGAGGGGCACAACACAGCTGTGACTTCCCTCGGTCTAGAACTACGCTTCTATTAATGCAGCCTAATGTATGTATAGTGGCCTCATCCTTAAACAGAGGAGTAGATGGACAGGATTTAGGCTGTAGCCCCGTACCCCTGAGAGTATATCAAACTGAACTCAGTGAAGTTTCTCAGTAGAGACACAAGATTGCATTGTTGAAATTGCAAATGGTTACTTTGTGATTCATCTTCCTCAAAGCCCCTCTTAATATTGAACATATCAGTAACATTCTGTATATGACTAATTTTATTTAATTAATGCATCCTAATATAAACCAGTTCCATTATCCTAAATGTAAGAAGGCGAAAAACTTAAAAAATAGCCCTTTAAAAAATGAAGTCTTAACAACAGAATATTAGGCCTAAATATTAAGTCATAACTAGAAATAGACCAATGGAGGTCTTGATTTGGCATTTAGTAATGGATTTAGAAGGTTTACTCAATTTGGCCTTAGAAGTTAGATTTGGTCCACAGTTTCCAGACTCATTAGTATATGGAGTGAGTAACTAAATACATGTTCTCTACATGTTTGGATCTATTTTTATCCTCCTAATTTGCTTGGCTTGTCAGGTAAAATGGGAGGAGTTATTTACTAAAGCCGGTCTGAACTTGGTGGCTGTGAAAAAATCTTCCTTTGGTGCAGCCATCTTCTTATGCCGTCGGCCACTTCCCATGAAGCAACCTATTTTCCTGCCTGTGGAGGAAACCCAGTACAAATGGGTGGAACCTTTGAAGGTAAGGATTTTAATATGGGAGGCGGTAAGTGTTTTTTAGTCTTGTTCCCAGGCTTCCCATTTACATTAAGATTTCTTAATGAGAATCTTTAAGAACCTCTCTTGACCCACATAAAATTAGTGAGCTGCAGTCTGTGTGTTATGCATTATGGAAATTACCCTTTTTCCCATAGTAAGCATTTGGGATTTCTCTTGTAGGAAATGCTAGCAGATACCTATGACCAGCCCATATGGCTAACTGTTACTAACTCTGGCACTTCAGGAGTTGTTGGGATGGTGAACTGTCTGCGTCAAGAACCTGGAGGCCATAGAATCAGGTACATAATTTCATCTCACAATGTTCTGGATATCGGGTACTAATGTGAGAGACAGAAGGATCAGATTAAGTATTGTATTGTTTTCTCACAACCTCTGAGGATGCTTGCCATAGATGCAGGCGAAACGTCAGGAGACAATGCTTCTAGAACATGGCCATATAGCCCAAAAAACCTACAACAACACAGTGATTCCAGCCATGAAAGCCTTAAACAATACATTGTTGTATTTTACTTCCTAGGTGCCTTTTTGTTTCTAACCTGAATGCTTCTTCAGCTAAGCCCCCCACCAACCCTTCTGCTAAGGAGATGCAAATGATTCTCCAGAATGACTTAGTGATGAATGTTCATCGTGATGGAAAATGGGGCTCTTTCAGACATCTTCAGCTGAAACAAGGTGATTCTTATGCTAAAGCTTGTGGCATTTTGTTTCCATAAGAAATGGAAGATAGCAATAGTGGAAAGAACAGTGACTATCTGTCTATCTGCTCAAAAATGATAAAAGTAAATAGTCTTCTGCTCCGGGAATATCTTCCTGATTCTGTTAAATGAGAAATGTCATTTTCAACACAGTCAAATGGTATATAACTCCAGGATGACACACACTTCCTTGACCCATTTCAAACTGGCTTCAGAGCAGAATATGGAATTGAGACTACTATGGTCATCATAGTGGATCATCTTCGTCTCAACACCGTCAGGAGAAGTGTGTCCCTGTTGGTGACTGTAGACCTCTCAGCAGCCTTCAATACCATCAACCATGGCATCCTTCTGGAATGCCTGCAGAGTTTGGGAATCAGAGGCACTGTGCTGTGGTGGTTCCGGTTGTATCTATCAGGCAGGTTCCAGATGGTGGTGCTTGAGGAGCGCTCCTCCTCAAAAAAGGAGCTATTATATGGCATCCCATAATGTGTCCTTCTATCCCCAATGCTCTTTAATATTTACATGAAGCCACTGTAAAGATCATCTGTAGGCATGAGGCGGGGTGTTATCAGTATGCTGATGACACCCAGGTATATTTCTTCATACCTTCAAAAACAGCCTCAGCAAAGAATGGTGTGTCTCCTCTGAATGAATGCCTGGAGGAGGTAATGGGTTGGATGAGGAAAAAACAAATTTAAACTGAATCCAAATTAAAGCTCTACATGGTTTGTGCGCAATCTACCCTTTAGGACATGGTTTCTCTGGGGGATGGCTACTTCAACCAGCCAGAACCTCACTGCCGATCATCACCCAGAAGACCTTTTAATGAATATGTGTTTTTAGCTATGTTCTAACCCGCCTCAAGCCACAAGGAGAGGCGGGTAAGAAAGAATATTATTATTATTATTATGTTGTTGTTGTTGTTGTTTTGCAATGACTTCATATTATAGTCAGAAAATCTGAACAATGACCGCAATTGGCTCACATCAATTCTGATGTCAGCAATGCCCACTACAACTTACTATTAAATAGACTTATCCTTGCCATTTTTCTGTTTGTGAAATGGAACAATGCTGACTGCTTTGTATCCTGGTCTTTTCCAGCTCAGTCTCAAGAGATAACTGAATATGCATTTGTGAATGTATTAACACGTGGGGATCTTTCCTCACTTCGGTGGATTGCTTCCCCGCTACGCCATTTCCACACAACCAACCCCAATGTTCAGCTCTGCAAAGTCTATTATGCATCTCTCAATTTCCGTGACATTATGTTGGCTACAGGAAAACTCTCCCCAGATGCCATCCCAGGTGAGTTGGGGAGCATTTCTGTAAGTAGAGGATTCCTAGTGTATTTTTTACTATTTGCATACTGTCTATAACCTCTCGTTTTACTTCATGCAAAAAATATGATTTAAAAATAAGAGGTATTTTACTAGAAATCCAGACATAAATACCTTGGGAAATGCCCCAAGCTCAGTGTTCATGTGTTTCATGTAGAAGTTTCTAGGTTTAGCCCCTGGCATCTTTACTTCAACAACGAAGAGAGCAGATTTTGGAAAGGGCTATTGCCAGAAGCCTTAGGGCCCTTCCACATAGCCATATAACCTAGAATATCAAGGCAGAAAATCCCACAATATCTGCTTTGTACTGGATTATCTGAGTCCACACTGCCATGTATTCCAGTTCAAAGAAGATAATGTGGGATTTTATGCAGCTATGTGGAAGGTGACTTAGAAAGCTACTGCTGATCATAGACCGTTTGGCCTTAAATGGGCCAATAATCTAAACTTGATTTAAATCAGTACCACACGAGGAAAACATCTCCTGACTGATTTACAGGCATGCATTGTCTCAAGATTAGTGTCCCAATACCTATTTTGTAAGTATTACATATATTTATTGGTGCTAAGAGTCTTGGAAGAGATTCAAAAGAGGGAATCACTCCTCCTTTCTTACTATTAAACCTCGGTATCTTGAGACTAATCCTACACAGTCATATCATCCTCAACAGAAAACAGAATTAAAATTTTTGCTTTGTATATAGCAGTTACTTAATTTCATCATTCATCTATTCTATATTGTATTATGTATCCACATATTATAGCAAGACGGTTTCTGCAGAAGCTGCTTTAGCAACTCATATGTGTTGGCAGAGAAGCTTCATATTAGAGTAATAAGTAGGTTCTTATCGTAATCTAGACATTAAAATGTCAATGTCATCAATTTGAAACATGGAGGAGGGTCAAAGATGTTAAGAATCTGTTTCTACCAAATGGTAGAAACAGATTCTTAATAAGATAAACCATATATTATATTGTCATGTTTTACGCATTTGTGATCAGGAGGAACTCAATGGCCCTAGCAGCCTGAAAACTGTGGCTGATTCTTTTGAATGAATTGCTGGTCAACAGCCATTTTATTATAGTTGCTTCATAGGACTACAGGCAGTCCACAACTTATGAACAAGATAGTTTCATAGAATCATAGAGTAGGAAAAGACCTCATGGGCCAGCCAGTCCAACCCCCTGCTAAGAAGCAGAAAAAATCGCATTCAAAGCACTCCCGACAGATGGCCATCCAGCCTCTGTTTAAAAGCCTCCAAAGAAGGTGCCTCCACCACACTCTGGGGCAGAGTGTTCCACTGCTGAACAGCTCTCACAGTCAGGAAGTTCCTCCTAATGTTCAGATGGCATCTCCTTTCTTGTAGTTTGAAGCCATTGCTCTGAGTCCTAGTCTCCAGGGCAGCAAAAAACAAGCTTGTTCCCACCTTCCTATAACTTCCTCTCACATATTTATACATGGCTATCATGTCTCCTCTCAGCCTTCTCTTCTTCAGGCTAAACATGCCCAGCTCTTTAAGCCGCTCCTCATTGGGCTTGTTCTCTAGACCCTTGATCATTTTAGTCGCCCTCCTCTGGACACATTCCAGCTTGTCAATCTCTCCCTTCAATTGTGGTGCCCAGAATTGGACACAATATTCCAGGTGTGGTCTAACCAAGGCAGACCTAACCAAGGTTTCCATAGGTTTGTTCTTGTAATATAAATATAACTTTATTTTTATACCCCACCTCCATCTCCCCAAAGGGACTCTGGGCAGCTTACATGGGGCGAAGCCCAACAGAACAGTTAAAACATATTAAAATGCATATTAACAAAATAATAACAAAAGCAACTTAATGAAATAAAAACGACCATTAAACAGTATATAAAATAAACATCAAAACCAACAACCAAAAAGCAAAGTTCAATGTCTCTTGTGAGTGGGCGGATTGGTGCCACAACATTAGAGGATAGAACTAATGAGTAAAGTACAAATATCATATGGCAGCAATGAGGACAAGAAAGATTTATCATTAAAGATTTGGATACAACTTAGGTTAAATATCTTAAGTTGTATTTGTTTGTAAGTCTGAACAGGTACATTTTTGAAATGTAACTCCAGCCTCTATATGTGTGTGTGTATAGAAAGAGCTTTAGATAGCATAGGGAAGGATTAACACCTCTGTGGCGTTTGCTTTGCTGCCTGTGCCCCTGTTCAGAAGATTTCACCTTACTTTCTGCTCGTGTGATAATTGGATTTTGAACATCTTAGCTTGTGGGAAACTTGAATTGGTGATAAAGCTTCAGTGGAGACATATTTTCCCCATGATAACTCTTCCTGAAGTGAATTTCCCTTCTGAGGGATAGATTTCTCTCACTTCCTGTTGTCTCAGCCCTGTTCTTAACTATGAGTTGTTTGTAAGTCGGATGTTTGTAACTCGGGGACTGCCTGTATTCTGTTTTTAGGAAACTGGACACTGCAGCAGTGCATGCTGGGCATGGAATTCTCAGGGTGTGACTCTACTGGGAGAAGAGTGATGGGGCTGCTGCCCGCTAAAGGACTCGCCACAGCAGTCGACTCTGATACCAGGTTCCTATGGGAAGTGCCACAAAACTGGTAGGCAGCTGCTATTTTATTTCCCATGGTAGTAGAAAATATGTACTTTGTATAATGTGAAAGCCTTATTTTAAAAAAGAATATAGGTTTATTCATTTTTCTTTGCTCTTGGGATTTTACTGTCCACCACTTTTCTTCATGCTGGGAAAGGGGGTCCTGCAATAGCAGCAGGGTGGGCTAGTACTTTACCAGGCACTTTCCAGACATGGGATTAGGGAGGGGCTATGTCTGAATGTCATTATGCTGAGGACAAGTGGGGAAAGGCTTGCGGTACTGAATACCTCCTTGTGCAAGTGTCTAAACAGTACAAGGACCCAAATAACCGAGAGTCATGCTAGCTTCACCCCTTGCCCCCCACCCCCTGCAAGAGGATTTTATTCAGCATCAGATTGGAGTCATAATTGCTGCTGCCAGAGTGAAGAGAGAGGGGGGCAGAAGACAGTTCCATCTTGTCTCATGTGCTTTACTAATAATATATATTATATTATATTTTACTAATAATAATAATACAATATTATAATTATATATTTTATATTACATGTAATATTACTAATAATATTAAAATATAATGGTATAGTACAATATAGTAATATATAATACTGATATTGTACTATGCTAATAATAAAATATATTGCATGTATATATATCTTGTAAGCCGCTCGGAGTCCCCTTCGGGGTGAGAAGGGTGGCATATAAATGTCGTAAATAAGTTTTTAGGATGTCATATTTTATTAAATAGTACTGGATCAGTCTGGCAGTGAGCCCCCAGTGGCACGATGGATTCGAACCACATGTCAGTGGTTCGAATCCAGGGAGAGTGAATTGAGCTCCCTCTGTCAGCTCCAGCTCCCCACGGAGGGACATGAGAAAACCTCCCACAAGGATGGTAAAACATCAAAAACATCTGGATGTCTCCTGGGCAACATCCTTGCAGACAGCCAATTCTCCACACCAGAAGTGACTTGCAGTTTCTCAAGTTGCTCCTGACACGAAAAAACATATTGCTCTAGTTACAACAAGCAATGGATTTATTTCACAGCTTTTAACTAAAAAGATTCAAATCTAGTGTATGTGAGGTCATTTTTCACATTTTTAAATGGCTTTTTCTAATACAATATCAGCAAATTTTCTAATACAATATCAGCAAAAATTAGCAAATTTAGTAATTTGCTAATTATTTCAGACATTCATATCTCACTTTTACACCCATAAGATGTTCCAGAGCAGGTTACAAAGATCAGCAATAATAAATCAGTTTACAATTTTTAAAAAGCAGAATTATAAGAGAAAATAAGACTGTGTAGGAAGAGGGAAAAAGGCAAATTTTGGCACTAATTCTTAGGCCCCATTTTTATAATCATGAGCTGGAACAAAAGAAATGGAAGAGAAGGAGAAGCCTTAATTCAGTTCAGTAGAGCCAGTGAAGCCGCTGAGTTCCCCTTTTCTACTTTGCCTTGACCTGATGGACTCAGTAGATTTGCTGTAGTATTTTAAAGCAGTCTAGCATCCATACTAGAAGTAGAATTACTTTCCACATTGTTTGAAAATAAATTTCTGGATGGTGTGTGCCTTCTGATCTATGGCAACTCAAAGGTGACACACTTATCACAGGATTTGTTCAGGGGATTAGGTTTTGTCATTGCCTTCCTCTGAGGCTGAGGCTGTGTTTTACCCTTCTGTGGTCACTCAGTAGTTTATGATGCTTCAGCAGGGATTTGAACCCTTTCTTCTGTAGAGTTGTAGTCCAACACTCAAATCACGACACCGTGCTGATTCTGTTGAAAATAAATACATCAGTGCATTTTGCATGTGACTAATTGAAGTTAAAATCTGAGAGATCACTTCCAGATTCAGATTTGTCTCCAGTTTCTGCCTCCTGTAACAAGAGCTGAAGTAGCCTGGCATGGAGGTCATGATAACTGTTATGAGGAAAGAGAGAAGGAGTCATGAATGCCTAAGAAAAGCCTCTCTGCCTTTCTCTAGGACTCTACAAGAAGCAGCCTCTGTACCCGTGGTATACGCCACGGCTTACTATTCCTTGGTGGTCCGAGGAGGCATGAAGAAGGGGGAGTCTGTGCTCATCCATTCAGGCTCCGGTGGTGTTGGCCAAGCGGCCATTGCTATTGCCCTGAGCATGGGCTGCCGTGTCTTTACTACTGTAGGTAAGTAATGGCATCCCTTTGCATTGTGAACAAAAATGATGTGCGCCTCAATAAAGCCTATGCTTAATTCAGCAAAGACAAAAATGGAGCAAGTGAATACGAATGGATTGCACTCGTTTTGGTTCATTTATTCCTTAGGGCAGCGAATTACCAGTAATCATTATATACTTACAGGCTTCATTAACAATAACATAATTTAGCCATTATTTTAGTATCAGACTCTGGAATTAATCTGTCCTTTCCCAGAAACACAATGCTTATTTTTTGATTTCAGGCTCTAAAGAGAAAAGTGAATATCTCCAGAAAAGATTCCCGCAACTTGATGCCAACAGTTTTGCCAGCTCCAGAAACACCTCTTTTGAACAACATGTTCTGAAAGTCACAAATGGAAGAGGTAGGTGTAATTACAAGAATTAAGAGTTCTCTACCAAACATTTACAATTAGGATGCAGAATATTTAATTACTAGAGGATTGTGTACATAAATTGAGATGCTTTACTAGGAAGACAGAGCAATGGGAATCCTGTAAAGTACAAATGATGCATTATTGTGTTTGGCCCTTCCCACAGGTGTCGACTTGGTGCTGAACTCCTTGTCAGAAGAGAAACTCCAAGCCAGTCTGCGTTGCCTTGCTCGGCATGGTCGTTTCTTGGAAATAGGCAAATTTGACCTGTCCAACAACACAGCCCTTGGTAAGGTTTCATTTTTTACCATAGTAGTACTCTGATGGGCCTTCGGAGCTTTACAGGATTTGTGGATCACAATAGTTTCAATTCAGGATTTTTTGAGTACTGATTTCATTTTTATTTTCCAAAGTAGTCAAGGTGTTATAGTCTCGATGATAAATAACAAAATGAGTGTGCAATCTTTGTGCCTAACAGATGATGAAGCACAATCCTTTTTATTGACCATGTATGTCCAAATATTCATTTTGAAGATACAGGATTGAATCTCAAGTACTATTGCACGAATAGGTATATGTATAAATATGATAGCAGTGTATGCTAGAAAGACAATGGCAAGCACTAAGAGTTAGACTAATTGTTCTTCATATCCCAGGCCCCATCTACACTGACCATATAATGCAGTTTCAAAGTGCATTATACAATAGTGTAGATGGAGCCCAATATTCTCAAAATTTGTGAAGCGTTGTTCCCCCCAAGAGTTTTCTCCACTGGGATCAAGAATTCCATTGTGACAGGAAATTGATGTCAGATATACCAGCTAGGACCTGCTAGTTAGTCCAGTGATGCACATGATATGCAGAGTTGCTCAGGACTTTCTTCTGTCCATGTTAAGTAACTGCCTTCTCCCAAACCACTTTGTAAAGCTACAAACATTATTTTCTAGTGATCATATACCTTACTTACTTACTTAGGTGATCCCTCGTTGTCTGAGTGTGATGGCCTTCCAAGTGTAGTGTCTTGATGTAGGTGACTGTGGAGCCCTATTCTTGATCTGCATGTTCTTCCACAGTGAGGACATTGGTTTCCAAGTGGAACACAGTCCTGGCTGGCTTGGTGCCCCTTCCGCTTGGCACATTTCTCCCTTTCTTCTCCATTTGTGCTTCTTTGTATTCCGCAGCACTGCTGGTGACAGCTGACTTCCAGTTAGAGTGCTCAAGGGCCAGAGCTTCCCAGTTCTCGGTGTCTATGCCACATAGACATAGATCATATACCATCTATATGGTTACTAGGGTGCATCTACATTATAGAATTAATGCAGTTGACCCCATTTTAACTGCTATGGCTCAATGCTATTGGATTCATGGAAGCTGTAGTTTAGCCTTCTCTGTAAAATAGTGGTGATGCCTCACCAAACTACAGCTTCCATAATTCCATGTCACAGAGCCATAGCAGTAAATGTGGCATCGAGCTGCATTGATTCTACAGTGCACTCTAGGACAGGGGGCTATGGGATTATTATTTCTAACTATAAAAGGGAAGCCTATTTATTAAGGAATAGCACTGCCATCGTGAAATCAGATGACTGTGTGAGTTCATTCTGTTGTTATGACTCTTATTGCTTCTATAATGAATTTATACATCTGGTGCTTTAAAACTTGTTCATGTTAGTCATGTTATTTTGATTAACAACCAGTAAATCTTATACAAATATACTTCATTAGCATACTTTTGCTTTGAAGGTGAAATTATTTCTTTTTCGCTGACACATGAATGGTTTTTAAAATGCAAAGGAACTTTGCTCACATCAGAAAATACAATAGAATAAAAGTATAACTGTGTTGCTTCTTCTAGGAATGGCCCTTTTCCTGAAGAATGTGGCTTTTCATGGAATCCTATTAGATGCCATTTTCGAAGAGGGAAATGAAGAGTGGGAATTAGTGTCAGACTTGCTAACAAAAGGCATCAAAAATGGGGTAGTAAAACCTCTGCGGACAACTGTTTTCAAAAGAGACGAGGTAGAAGCTGCATTCAGATATATGGCGCAAGGAAAACATATTGGGAAAGTTGTGATCCAGGTATGGTTGGTACTTCCAGATTAATTTTCTGTACACGGGATGCTAAGTGTGGAAATGACACTTTAAAAATACGAGCAGTTATAGTAATACCTACATTTTTAAGTAGTAAAGAGGAACAGAAATAGAAAGGTGTGGTAAACACTTAAACAGCGGAAAATGCAATGAACTCAGTTCAGTGGGGAAACCATTTTTAATTCAATTATTTTTAAGAAACTGTCAGCTAAAGTAATTGACAGGAGAGTCAGATGAGCCACCTCTGTTAGTTTGAGGTTTTGTGGATTGAGATGAATCTGCTTTAGGCCAGAATTGAGCTGTAGTGCCTTCACTTCAAGATATCTGAAGATCAGGTGGGCAATTACTGCAAGATATTTGAGAAGTTCAAATGCCCGTGTCTGATGTATACTATGTGTGTATGTGTGTGTGTGTGTATAAATATTGGACATACTTCAGTATTACCCATGTTTGATGAATTCTCTATATTGCTGTTTTCAGGTCAGGGAAGAAGAAAATCAATACCCCGCAAAGGAAGCTAAGCTAACCCAACTCTCTGCCATCTCCCGGATGTCTTGCCCACCAAATAAGTCCTACATCATCACAGGTGGCCTTGGGGGATTTGGGCTGGAATTGGCTCAATGGCTGGTTGAAAGAGGAGCAAAAAAGCTGGTGCTAACATCTCGATCTGGCATCCGAACGGGTGAGCAAAAAGAAAAAGCAACGAATAGGGAAAAGTGAATGTTTGAGTGTTCACAATGTCCCTGAATGCTTGGCTCAATCTTTTAATTTTGTTCTTGGAAAATAATGTGTTTCTGTGAACTTAAAGCAGAAGCAAGGAAATGTTGCAATAGAATTATGAAATATCTAGATTCACCATCTGATAAAAGAAATTGACAAAGTTTCTTATCTGCTGACATAAATAGACATAACACATTTTCACCATTTTAAAAGCATTATTAAGTAAACGGCACTGATGAGGAAGAAATTAAATTCAAATGAGAACAACTAGGGTGACATCTATGAATGGCTGGAAATATTTGTTTATCTTTGATAGAATATACACTTTGTGCAAGGGAAAAAAACCCAGAAATGGCAGTATAAAGAGTGTCAGTTAATAAAGGCTCCCATTTTGTTATTTTATGCAATCTGGAACTGCATTGCTAGGAAGACACTGGGAATGAGAAATCATCAACTATTTTGGAAGTCTAGATGTGCACTTTTGCAGTTAACCCTATTAATATAGTCTTGTTTGAGGGATGGGGGAGAATGAATAAGAATCTACAGCCCACGTAGCAAAAGGATCATCATCTTGCTGCATTCCCAAGAATACTCTTATAAATATAGGACATATTCCTGCGGTTTCTACTAAGACAGTAAAAAAAATCAGATCGCTTAAAAAACTATCTGGATTATTTTATTTACAAAAATATAGCAGGAGGTACAGCAAAAGTATTAAATTATGGTGTCACTATAATTCACACCTGAAAATATCCCCTCAGTAACAATTACGTTAAAGAAAAATACCAGTAACCACAGGTGTTCTCATTAACTTTCTCATCTTATGGGCTCAAACAATTATTATTTTTCTCAGATTTTTGCTAACCAGTTAGTCTCATCTTTATTGCTACATCTCAAATTCTAAGGAAGCAGTCTTTCTCTTAAACTAGAGGTAGAGCAGCGTTATAAGCATAACCAGTATCCAGTGAATCCTATTCTGGATTCTTGATTTTCAGGCTACCAGGCTAAACGGGTCCAAGAATGGAAACAGCTTGGAATCCAAGTTCTTGTCTCAACCAGTGATGCCGGGATTCTTGAGGGGGCTCAGCGCTTAATCCAAGAAGCTTCTCAAATTGGGCCCGTTGGGGGCCTCTTCAACTTGGCTATGGTGAGTGGCCGGTGTTGAAAACCCATGTGGCTCCAAGCGACATTTCTTTGTTGTCTAACCGGGATCAAATTGACGTTTCAGACTAGTTTTCTTCTGCAGTTTATGCTGAATAGTGTGAAAACAGGAAATAATTACTGTTTCAACCTGCATGTGTGTTCCTTGGCTAGAATATTTTTTTCTTTTATTTTTTTAAGTTGTGTTGGATTATAATTATATTACCGTTTGTATTTTAAACTGAAATGGGATGTCAGGATGTTTTACCCTAGATCTTTTAGTTAACAAGAAAGGATGATGGGCAGGGGAGAGAGACCTGACAAATATTTGGGGGAAATTATGTTTTATCAGATAATTTCTTTTAACTTCCATGTTGTAAGTGGTGCATGAATGGAGGACATGGTCTGAAATACTCATTTATGTTTTAAGGTTATCTTGAACCACCTCGGAGGTTAAGATTGTTGGGGGAGGCCCGGCTCTTGATCCCACCCATCTTGCAGGCGTTACTGGTGGGGACAAGGGACAGGGCCTTCTCAGTGGTGGTCTTTTGGTTGTGGATCTCCCTCCTCAGTGAGATCAGATCAGCCCCTTCCCTCCTGGCCTTCAGATATAAATTTTTAAAAAAATGGATGTGGGGCCAAGCTTTCAGAAAGCAATCTTTCAGTGCAATAAGTGAATTCGGAATAGTGCAATGATGACCAGCACAGCTTCGAACTATGATTTTGGGTTACGTAGTTTTAATAATTGGTTTTAATGTTGAATTCAGATGTTTTTGACTTTTTGGTTTTAATGTATATGTTTGCTTCGTTTTCATGTATGTATCTGTGGCATTTAATTGTTGCCCACTGTAAACCGCTCTGAGTCCCCTTCAGGGTGAGAAGGGCGGGGTATAAATATGTTAAATAAATACATTTTGTCTATGGCTGTGAAGACCAAATCAGACTTAACATCAAAAATGTAGTTTTGAAGTTTTGAAAAATTCAGTTGCAGCTGTAAAAGTAAAGTGGGTGAGGATTACAGTAAACTGTGAAGGGAGAATTTAATCCCTACTACAGTAATGGCACTTTGAGAATATGCTTTCACATTTTCTTTCAAATTGAAGTAAAATACATTCTGCCTTAACTATGACATTTCCATTTCCTGCAGGTCCTGAAAGATGCAATGCTGGAAAATCAGACTCCAGAGCTTTTTTATGAAGTCAACAAACCCAAGTATTTAGGCACACTGCATCTGGACCAGTAAGTGACATGTGAAACATGAATATATGTTACTGCTCTTCTTGATGAGCACACAGAAGTTCTTGAAAATGAGAGTCAAACAGTCCTTTTCTGTGTTATTTTGTTCCAGAGTAACCCGCCAAAATTGCCCAGAACTGGACCATTTTGTAGCCTTCTCTTCAGTCAGCTGCGGAAGAGGCAATGCTGGGCAGAGTAACTATGGTTTTGCCAATTCTACCATGGAGCGTATCTGTGAACAGAGAAGGCATGATGGGCTTCCAGGTAACAGTGCCTTTCTTCTAACCTGTAGGGATTCTTTTCCAGGGCAAGCACTGTAGAGCATAGACTCATGGAATTGAAAGAGACCACATGGGCCATCTAGTCCAACCCCCTGCCATGCAGGAAAAGCACAATCAAAGTACTCCTGACAGATGGCCATCCAGTTTAAAAGCCTCCAAAGAAGGAGCTTCCACCACACCCCAAGGCAATGAGTTCCACTGTTGAACAGCTGTTATGGTCAGGAGGTTCTTCCAAATGTTCACGTGGAATCTCCTTTCCTAGAATTTGAACCCATTGCTCCAAGTCCGAGTTTCCAGGGCAGCAGAAAACATGCCCCCTCCCTCTTCTGACATCCTTGAGACTTGAGTTCTTTTAGAGTGGCCCGGTATTCCTGGGCTAATTCTTTAGCGAGTTTGGGTTGCATATCCCCTATTGCCTTGCCTGCTCCATATTGCTCAGGTTGAATACTAATTTCCTTTTGGGAGAAGACTAAGGCGAAGAAAGTGTTGAGTAATTCTGCCTTTTCCCCATCCACTGTCAGCATTTCATCACCACCTCCTCACAGAGGCTCTGTAATTTCCTTCTTTTTTCAATTGACACAACCAAAGAACCTCTTTGGTTATGTCAATAGTTTTTTATCTCCCTGGCAAGCTTGAGCTCATTTTGTGCTTTAGCCTTTCAGACCTTTTCCCTACATGTGTTGGTTATCCATTTGAATTCCTCTTTGGTGATTCCTCCCTACCCCTCTTTCCATTTCTTGTACATGTGTCCTTTAAATCTTAGCTCAGCTGGAAGTTTCTTGGAAATCCATTCTGCTTTCTTTAGATTTCTCTTATTTTTTTTCTTCATGCTGGGACTGTTTGTAGTTGTGTCTTCATTATTTTCATTTAAGAAAATCTCATCCATCATTAACTCCCTTCTGTTTTAGTATCCCTGCCCTTGGAATTGCACTTATTATTTCCTTAAATTTCCTTAAGTCGGCTTTCCTAAAGTCTAGAATGCACGTTTTACTTCTCTTAGTTTGTATCATATGTCACTCCCACCTAAGGATCCCACCACTTCCATTCCAATTACCAGGTCCTCGGTGTTGGCTAGGATAAGATCCAGAATAGCTTATCCCCTTGTTACCTCTTCCACCTTCTGGACAATTAAATTGTCTGCAAGGCAAGTGGGGATTTTTTTTTTTTTGGACTGTACTCTTGGCAGAGCTTGTTTCCCAACAAATATCAGAATAGTTGAAATCTCCCCTTACTACTATATCTCTTCTTTCTGCATGTTTGGTCATCTGTTCAAGAAGGCTTCATCCAGTTCTTCAGTCTGGCTTGGAGGTCTGTAGTAGACTCCCACGTAATAAGTAGAATAACATTTGTATGAGAATAAGCAGAATAATATGCACTGCCTCATGCTTCTTATGCAATAATAAATTCTTAGACTCATAACTGCTCACAATTTTATACTCGTTTCCTTCTGCTGTATGCTTTGTAATAACCTCCATGCATTCTCCATCCTTCTCTAGGCCTTGCCATACAATGGGGTGCAATTGGTGATGTGGGCGTTGTCTTGGAGACCATGGGCAGCAATGACACTGTGGTTGGGGGAACTCTGCCCCAGAGGATCAGCTCATGCTTGGATGTTCTGGATCTCTTCCTCAACCAGCCTCACCCGGTCATGTCCAGTTTTGTCCTGGCAGAAAAGCTGATGGCAAAAAGTGATGGTGGTAGCCAGCGTGATCTTGTGGAAGCTGTTGCTCACATTCTTGGTAAGTATCATTATTAGTAACCAATCTTTTGATGTTCTCATTGTTTTAGTTGCAACATCCAAGGTGCTTTCTATCCTATTGGAAAGAAGAATTGTTCTAATCCACTCACTCAACTGCAAGTGACCCCTATGTGTCTGGGTCCATCATTTTTTCACAAAATCCATCACCAATTCTCTATAGCTAAGTTGTATTGTTTCTCCTGAATCCTGACTTGCCTCACCTTGCCTCCTACACTTATTATACAAGTCGATTTGCTGTTTGCTGGGGATGATTTCACAGAACTTGGGAGCATTTGTAAAATTGTATCACATAGAGATTAGTATGGATAATGGTGCTAAATTGGACATGGAGCAACCTGGGTGCAGTAGAGCATGTGGGATTAGATGTGGGAGGAAATGAGGTCAGAGAGAGCATGTAGGAGTGTTGGGTTTTTTGGAGTTTTAAAGGTGTGAACCTGTCACCTTCCCCATCTTTGAAACATTAAATAAAGAACATAATATAAGCATCAAACTAGGATAGGGATCTGAACTGGAACAACTGTCACCATATCCCCAGATCCATGGCTTTCAAACCTTCTTCCCAAGGGCCCACATGGAAAAGGTATAAATTCTTATACCACAAAAACAGTGTAAGAGCAGAGCAAGCCACCAAACGGCAGCAGTTGGAGACTCAATATAATTTATTAAAACCTAATTTTCTTTTGAAATCTACAGTCAGCCCTTCACTTTTGTGAGGGTTAGGGGTGCTGAATCTTTCAAAAAGTGGATAAACTGTTAATATTTAAGCCCACCTCCCCAAACCATATTTAACATGCTTGCTGGCTCTCTTAGCCTGTGGCATGCTGCTGTCTCTGCTTGCCCCCATCCCATGAGGAGTGGAGTTTGCCTTCACCTGAGCATCCCCATCCCTTGTTCTTTCTTGAAGCTGGATGGTGATGTTGAGTAAAAGGGGCTAGGCCAGTAGTTCTCAACCTGGGGTCCCCAGATGTTTTTGGCCTACAATTCCCAGAAATCCCAGCCAGTTTACCAGCTGTTAGGATTTCTGGGAGTTGAAGGCCAAAAACATCTGGGGACTCCAGGTTGAGAACCACTGGACTAGGCTTTGCCTCCACTACAACTGCACCCGCCACCCTCACTTGCTAACTAGACTGAAGAGACTGCCACTCTGTTAGGGTTTCTTCATAAGGAGAACCATGAGCCAAGTCCCCATTGCTGCACCTCTTCATTCTCTGCCAGCTCCACCATATCTGCCCTTTCCTCCATGCAAGCAACAGCACGAGGTAGAGGCATCTCCATGAAGGCTCTGATAGAGGGAAAGGGCTCTGCTGTTGCCTCCTCCTCATCCAACAAACTGCTACTGCTCTGCATGTAGAACCGAGCATGCTCTTCGGAGATTTCCCTCCACTCTTCCCCCCACTTCCCACCTAACAATTGAAGAGCATCCAAACCATTTCTTTGCAAGTGAGGTGTGCTGTTTCTAGCAAGAAGCGCTGAGAATGCAGCAGGAAAGCCCACCTACTAGTCACTTAACAGTTTGACCCGAGGGGCAGGGGAGGTGGAGAAGTGATGGCAGCATTGTAGTCAGCCCCCATCTTCCAAAACCAAGGGGGCAACTTGTTCACGCACAGCGCCAGCTCTGCCTACAATTTATTTGCCCTGCTTTTCTACATTTTTCTCCCCTTCTTGAGTGCTTCCTTATGCTACAGAATAAGGACATGCTTTATTAAAAATGGCATAGGGCAGCAGCAAATAATCCACAAATAATCAAATACACTAAAGTTAAACCTGCAAAAGTGGCATGCTGCCTGTAATTACTCTTTGGACATTAGAGAACTCTTAGTCACATTACATGTTTTAATGTGTTTCAGTTCTATCTTAAAATGTTTTAATTGTGCGTTGTTTTAAGGCATTGAATAGTTGCCTATGTGTAAAGCCGCCTTAAGTCCCCTTTGGAGTTGAGAAGGGTGGGGTATAAATAATGGTAAATAAATAAATAAGTAAATAAATATAGTTTTCTTCATGCTAAGCAAAGACATTGATTTTGGAGGCATTGCAACTCAAGCCTCCTCAATTTAACCAGTCTTTGCTAATCTAAAGACTTTAAACAGAGACTTCCTATTTTGAGTTATTTGAGTTATCATGGAAACAAGGACTGGGGATAAAGCTTTAACCAAGACAGCTTTTCCAATTATAAGTCTTACAGAAGTGAATTCCCCTTCCTAAGGGTAGATTTCCTCTCACATCCTGTTGTAACTAGGAGTCCTATGTAAATCAGATGTTGTAACTCAAGGACTGCTTGTATTTGGAATTAATCTGAAATGAAGCCAGAAGTCTCCAGGCTCCTTCCAGCCTTATTAAGTAGTTGGGGCAGAAGCCCGGTTTTGGCTGGTCACTGTTACTTATTTTATCTGCTGCGTGTGAACAGAGCCAGTAATTGAAGCTCTGACTTGCCACGGTGACCAGCACACACTCGGATGCTGGCTGAATGCTCTAATCAATAAAATGGCCATTCAGCCGATGAGCTCACCTTCCCATTGCTGCTTCCTTTCCTTTCCCATTATCATTAGCATCCTTACCCTTCCTGTCTAACATGTTTGTTTGAACTCTCCCTTTCCCTTGCATTACACAGATCATTTCCAAATATTAGAATGAGTCAGCAACTTCTCAGACCATTTAACAAGGGCTTCATTATATCCTACTTCACATTGTAACAATACTATTTTTCATTTGAGTCTGTACCCATTTACTAGTGGATGCAAACATATTTCTTTTGATGGTCTTTCTCCTGCTTTTGTAGTCTCCTGTTGCTTAAATATCTTATCAGTTAACTTTTAAAAGGCAAGCACTGATGCCCTCTTGCTGAAGAACTGCAATTCTCCCTTTTCTATTCTTTTGTGTCATAACTGCTTTCCTCTTCTTTTCTGGGCAGTCATGTGCTTTGGCACAAGACTATGACTCATGACTCACACAAGCGGCAGAAGGACCCTTGTACTGTGCCATGACAAATATTGTGCACTTGTATAACAATGCTTTCTTTTAAAAAATTCTGTTCTACCATTCCTCTGCTTGCTTTTATTCATTTTAATTCAGCCCCCACAGAGCTCAAAGTACCTGACAGTGGACTAGGATGCAGATAGAGGTGATGGATTTTTCCTATAGGCAGGTGGTCTTTCTTGGGGAAAAAGGATTTCCCATCTCTGGTTGGAGCCCCCGGTGGCGCAATAGATTAAACCCTTGAGCTGGCAGGACTACTGACCAAATGGCCGGTGGTTTGAATCCGGGGGAGTGGGATGAGCTCCATTCCATCAGCTCCAGCTTCTCATGGGGGGACATGAGAGAAGCCTCCCACAGGATGGTAAAACATCCAGGCATCCCCTGGGCAACGTCCTTGCAGACGGCCAATTCTCTCACACCAGAAGTGATTTGCAGTTTCTCAAGTTGCTCCTGACACACACACACACAAACCAACAACCCTGATTATAAGGTTTAAACAAACCCTGATATTCAAGATCTTTAAATGAAAAAAAATTAGAGGGAAATGTTGCTTGCAGAAAATAACTTAATAAATATCTGACTTGAAATAGTATGTTCAATATTGAAAATTTAAAAGACTTATAAAAATGATCCCACACACTACCCTTGAGAGATGCTATGTCAATTTAGAAAGAAAACTGGAGGAAGGATCTAAATCGGTTGTCAAAGTATTGGCACACTTGTATTTCTTTTCCACAGGCGTTCGAGATGTGAGCAGCCTGAATGCTGACACTTCCCTGGCCGATCTGGGTTTGGACTCCCTCATGGCAGTAGAAGTACGCCAAACCCTGGAGAGGGACTACGATATTGTAATGTCAATGAGGGATGTTCGATTGCTTACCATTAACAAGCTGCGAGAATTTTCTTCTAAATCGGGGACCACAGACAGTAAGTACAACCACCTGTTCAGGATCTACCCTCCTTTGGATTTGCGACACACACAAAAAGGGTGGCTATCAGGAGCCAGTAGAACTGGAAGTGAATACTGTAGTGGAAATAAGATTCTATTGCCAGCAGAAATATTTCCTAATTAGCACCAAAAGGCTTTACTAATTAGAACATTTTCTGCTGATAATAAACTCCTATCTGCACCAAGACTGCTGTACCCCACAGTGTAGTATTCACATCCAATTTTACTAGCTCCTATTTTCCACCTTTGTTCAGCCAAATTCTAAGCAGGTAGTGACCAAAATTTGCCGTTTTTTCAGTTAAACAGCCAATTTAAGGGAGCAAGGGGGAAGTAAACGGAAAAATCTTTGATGAAAGTAGAAATGCTGTATAATAGATTTTAGCTCTTTTTTTTCAAATGTAATATAGTTTGTTTATTGTTTATCTGTTTTGGATGTGGTCTATGACAAATTCAATAATACTTCAATTACCAAAGCAAATCTATGTTTGTTTCGTGATCCTCTATAACTGATGTGAATAGGAAATCTTAGCTATTGTTAAAGATGAGAACTAGCAACACTAACTTGTGGCAAAATCAGATACACATTTGTAATTCAAATGTTCTGGATGGCTATTCTTACAGATTGCAAACTCCTTTTCTCAACCTTGAAACTTAGCACCAAGCGAGGCATGACTTGAAAGAGCCATTATGAGGATTCCCTATATTTTTATAAACATAGGAGTGGCTCCACAAATGTGCTGTTTGGATGGGACCAGAGCATGGTGGACTTTCCTGCTGAGATATTTTCCTAATCTGTACAATTCCTAGAATTTCTACTAGCTTCGATAGCATGCAGAGGGAGAAGTGAGGAGTACAGTATCTATATTTCCTTGGAGCAAGGAACTGGGAAATTATTGTTTCCATTCGATGTTTGATCATTTGTCTTATGTTTATTATAACAGGCTGTTTTTTTAAAAAAAACATCTAGTTGTTAAGTCATAATTCGCATTTGTCGTAATTGTTTACATTTTGTTAGTTTGGATGTATTGTTATTGTATTCGGGCATTGAATGTCTGCCTCTTATGTTTGGTATCCGCCCTGAGTCCCTCTAGAATATAAATAAAGTATTATTATTATTATTATTATTATTATTATTATTATTATTATTATTATTATTTCCACCACTATGGATAGGGGAATTCAGATAAGTGACATGGCGCAGGATGAAACCATTGATCCCCAACTTTAGTGCATGACTTGGATCTGAATTTCAGTCCCCATGACTAATTACTAAACTGAAAAAAAATCTTTGCAGTCTTCAGTATCACACCTAATTCGGGCCTTCCATTTCTGGAGGGGAAAGATTTAAGATACAGTTGAACAAGACTAGACTTAAGCAAGCTTGTGATCGTCTTCTGTTACCTAGCTTGAATGTGCCATGTTTGTTTGCTCTTCTTCTGTTTTTAGCATTATCCCAGGAGACAAAAGGCAGCCAGGCTGAACAACCCAGACTGGATTTGAATAAATTATTGGTTAATCCGAATGGGCCCACAATCATGCTGCTCAATGAAGTGAAGAGCCCAGAGCCTCCTCTCTTCCTCATTCACCCCATAGAGGGATCTCTCACAGTCTTCAACACCCTGGCTTCTAAACTCCGTATACCAATCTATGGACTTCAATTTACCAAAGGTAGATGGGTGATCATATTTGTCAAGTCTTGAAACATAGTGTTTGTTGTCAGAATAGCTGAACACCTCAAGATTCTAAATGTGAACACAATTTGTTAATGTGTGCAAGCATGGGAAAGTATTTGGCCTGAAAAAGGGTTAAAGAAACCCTTTCGGTATTCCATTACTTTGGGATGAAAAACAAGGTCAGAATAGTATGTTTTGAAAGTGAGTTAACATGGAAGGGGAGGGGGAGCTAACAACTTTCTTATTAAATTGACAAAACCTTTCCTTCAGAATTATATTTCCATTTAAAATATTTCTGAAAAACTATAACCACTAAATTGGTTTTAAAGTCCGTTTTTATATTTCCTTGCTGTGACATTAATGACCTCCAACTTGTTTAGAGATAAACTAGTAATGTTGTCCATTGATCTTCTATAGGCTGACTCTTTTTATAATTTGGTATTTTCTTAGCTGCTCCTTTGGACAGTATACAGAGTCTGGCATCCTACTACATTGACTGCATAAAACAAGTGCAGCCAGAAGGCCCCTATCGGATTTCAGGATACTCCTTTGGTGCCTGTGTCGCCTTTGAAATGTGTTGTCAACTCCAAGCTCAACAGAATCCCTCCCATTTACCCAACAGCCTTTTCCTGCTGGATGGTTCACATTCCTATGTAGCAGCGCACACACAGGTGAGAGGTTCTTGGTCAATCTACCGGTGTCATTTTCAGGCTTCCTGTGTAGGAACATTCGGGTTGGCAATAGCTTGCACATTCTTTGCTTCACATGTACAGAATAAGCAGTGGTGCATTTTATTTTCTAGTTAAAGGTAAAGGTTTCCCCTGACATTAAGTCTAGATGTGTCTGACTCTGGGGGAAGTGGTGCTCACCTCCATTTCTAAGTTGAAGAGCCCACATTGTCCGTAGACACCTCCAAGGCCATGTGGCCAGCATGACTGCATGGAGCACTGTTACTTTCCTGCCGGAGTGGTACCTTTTGATCTATTCATATTTATATGTTTTCAAACTGTTAGGTTGGCAGAAGCTGGGGCTAACAGCAGGAGCTCATCCCGCTCCCCGGATTCAACCCGCCAACCTTCCGGTTAACAAGTTCAGCAGTTCACCGGTTTAACCCACTTAGGTTAAATCCTCCATTACAAATACACCAGCCTAGCCAATATCATATCACTGTCTTTCATTGGATTCTTTTGAAGATATTCCCATCATTTTGATATTTACACTTGTACTGAAGTTTTATATAATTTTAATCTGTATTTTAAAACATGTTGGTAGCTGTATTAGTTACAGATGGGAGCTCACCCCAGATTCGAACAGCTGACCTTTGGGACAGCAGTCCTGCCGGCACAAGGGTTTAACTCATTGCGCCGCTGGGAGCTCCGTAATTCACAATTAAAATCCATAAAGCCTGATTAAAAACATATTCAAAGCTCAAAAATTATTTAAAATGTTTTAAATGTTTATTTAAAACAGATCTTTTTAAAATTATTTTAAAAGATCTGTTTTCCTAAGATCTTTTTAAAAAATCTTGTGATCCATATTTTTCAGAGCTACAGAGCCAAGCTAACTCCAGGAAATGAGGCTGAAGCAGAGACTGAAGCACTGTGTGCCTTTGTTCAGCAGTTCACTGGCATGGAATATAATAAGGTAATGTTCTTCCACACTCATCCACATTGGCAAGATAGTGCATTTTACTCACACCAGTTTCCCCTGTAAACTGCACTGTACCTTGAAGGAAAGCTTTTCTTCCTCATCTGTTTCTTCTCCCTTTTCTTGCTGCTTGCAGTTGCTAGAAGTCCTTCTGCCTCTGCCCGATCTGGAAGCTCGTGTCAACGCTGCCGCAGATCTGATAACTCAGACTCACAAGGACATCAGCCACGAGGCACTCATTTTTGCGGCTACTTCTTTTTACCACAAACTGAAGGCAGGAGAAAAATATATGCCGGAATGCAAGTATCACGGCAATGTGATGCTACTGAAAGCAAAGACACACAACGAGTTTGGAGAAGGCCTTGGAGGAGACTACAAACTTTCAGAGGTTAGTTGCATTGGTGAAATGAATAAAAATGTCCTCTTTTATCAGCGTATACCCATTACAGTTTTCTTCTCTCAAGTAAGAGAGGAAAACCTGTAGGCTTCCAATCAGTACCCATTTACATGGCTAGTGGTCAAGATATTATGCACACTGTAGTCCAACAGCAGCTGAAGGGCTGCAGGTTGCCCACCTTTGTGTTAGAGCAACAAAAAGCTACAGTCTTGTGTCAGTGTGCTCTGGCTTGTAGTTCAAATGTTCAATGAACAATCCAGGGTGTTGAACGGGAGTAGATTGTGTAGGTTTGTGATCCTGTTTGTTTATGCTTGTAAAATACTTTAAAAAATACAAACATTGTAATTTTTGTAAACTTTCTTTTGTTTGATTTTCTTTTCTTTCTTTCTTTTTTTTTGACTTTGTATAGAAATATATTCTGTTATAAAGGAGTAGATTCACTAGTCTCAAGTATATATAAGCCAACAGCATCCACTGTCCTGCACTATCCTATGGATACACAGTCCTTTCCCATCCTTGCTGTCACCCTATACAGTGACTACAAATATATAAATATGATTTTATCTTCAAAATCCATTTTCTGCCATTAGTTTTAGCCTGTCAAGCAGGAAGAACTAGTGTGCTGAATTGGGTTCAAATTCCCACTCACTCAAACAAAAACCCATTGAGTTATCTTGGACAAGTCATACTTACTCAACCTTCGGGGAAGGCAGTGGAAAATTTCCTCTTAAGAAACTTTGCCAAGAAAAACTAGATAGGGTTGTCCTATGTCAAAATTGGCTTGAAGGCACATAATAACAGTAATCAACAAGAAGGTGAAGGTCTGTACTGGTAAAAAATGAGGAAAGTAATTTTAAAAATAAAAGGACTTGAATATCTTCTCAGATTATTTTGACTTCTGACCAAAAGAGAATACATGGACCTAATATGCATCAGTAAAGTTCTCTGCTCTGTCTCTGTTTGTATGCAGGTCTGTGATGGAAAAGTATGTGTTCATATCATTGAAGGGGACCACTGCACCATTCTGGAGGGAGACGGCGTTGAGTCCATTATTGGGATCATTCACAGCTCGCTAGCAGAACCTCGGGACAGCGTTCGAGAGGGCTAGATGCTTCAGAAACTCTGCTGCCATTGCTAGAGAGAATTCAAACCTGGCCCTTATGACAACCCCAAGGGATTCCTTCGTGTAATCCATCATATCATCTGCTCTGCAGCCACGTGTAGGAAGCCACGTTCATCTGCATCCCCCCCCCTCTCCTTTCTTACCCTCTCTTTCTACACAGTGACTGTTTTTGCAACTGTTGCAAGGACCTACGATGATGGTGAGAACTTCTACCATTTAGCAGTTGAAAATTAGGACCAGATATGTGTGTATATGTATGTGTATTGTGCTATGTACTGTATTGTTGTCTTAGGAGTATTCCAAAGTGAAACTAACCCAGCTCAGTGAGCAAAGAGGGCAGCTGCAGCTGATTTTGGAGACACCTTTGTCTGTGAAGAGTCAGTCTGTAGCAATTTCAGTAAGTTAATTCCATTGAGGGTTCTTTTTGTAACTATTACTTTTAATTTGAAATATCTAGGTATTTATTGCATTGTTATTTCACTTAGACTGTTTTAATATGTCACTGACTAAATGATAAGGACAAAATATTCCATTGTGGAGTATTTTTTTCCTCTGCTGTTTGGTTGCCTCAGATTCTTTTTTAAATGTAACCAAAAATTATCTTTAGAAGCGTGTGCTCATTTAGACTGGAAGGCAGATTCCCAGCCAAAATAACACATTTCTCTTCAGAATTGTATTATTTCCGCTAAATTGCTAGTCCCTTCTGAAACTTGAATGGAATTGATTGGTAATTCTGAGCATGTGTAATGCATGCTTTTTAAACCAGAAGTTGGGATTACAATATTGGGCATTTCTGACATTTATTTCAGGACTGCACAGATTAGGTGCTCAATGTCATCCTTTCCCCTGGTGGCGCAGTGGGTTAAACCCCTGTGCCGGCAGGACTGAAGACCTACAGGTGGCAGGTTCAAATTCGGGGAGAGGCGGATGAGCTCCCTCTATCAGCTCCAGCTCCTCATGCAGGGACATGAAAGAAGCCTCCCACAAGGATGATAAAAACATCAAATCATCCGGGCATCCCCTGGGCAACGTCCTTGCAGACGGCCAATTCTCTCACACCAGAAGCGACTTGCAGTTTCTCAAGTCGCTCCTGACACGACAAAACAAAAAAACCCTTTCCCCTGAAAGCTTGTAGTTTACTTCTTGTTTTCTCCCATTTGCAACATGATTCAGACTTCTCATGGCTTCATATTGATTTAACCTTCTTCAATTCTTCCATATACAAAGCTCTTCAGCAATTACTATTCTCTGCTGAAAGCGCCTGTGTAAAAAAAAAGGAACTAGAGGCCCTTAAGTATTTTGTTAACTTCTTCTGTCTTGAGACATGCTTGTAGGATAATCAGTGCATCTTTGCTGCACCAATGATACAGAGGAGGCATGCTAGCCTCAGCGAGACTGCTGTGCTTCTCCAAATGGCTTTAGAAGCCAGGCCTCAGCTGGATTATTTTTCCAATTCTGAGGTCCAGAGACTTGCACGCATTTCGGACTCACTGCAAGTGAGTGGCTTAAGCCATCCTCTGTGGACGAGCAGCTAGGAGACTGATTTTAGTTCTTAATTTTAAGAGAAAATTCCTTTGAAATCTGAAGTGTAAAATGAGAACATTTCAGATTCCTGTTATGTTGTGATTTCTTCTCTTTTTTATTTTTACATTCCTTTGATGAAAAAGCTCTGGGGTGTCTTTTCTTCTGCGGCTCTCCTGGAATTAAATGCAACTTAAACTCTGCTATGGCTTTACTTGTCTCTTATTTCAATTTTCTATGCTTCTCCACTGCTTGCTCTTTTTATTTCTGAAGAGATAAAGAGAAATGCTCTCTAATACCTTTAGGTCGATTTGATTTGGAGACTGTAAATTTTCTGATTACCCTAGAACACAGTGTTATTACTTTAATGCCTCAGGGAGATACAGTCAAATAATTGAGCTACATGACACAACCATGGAAAATGCTCATCTTAGTTCTGACTGCCTTCCTTTCACAGATGGGAAATATTTGGCCTTTCAGATATTGTTGGATTGTAACTCCCATCATTCCTTACTATAGGCTACACTGGCTACACCAGACTGGAGTTGTGATCCAACAACATTTGTGATCCAACAACATTTAGAGGCTCATTAAATTAATTGACTTCATTTCCCATTACCCTGAATGGGGATAAGCCATCATGCAAGGCTCTTATGAGAACAGTTGGTGCAGAATATGATATACTGCTGTACACTAAGTATGTACAAGAAAATTTCCTCCAAGGGCCATATTTGAGTAGATTGAATAAGCCAGCAACAATTAAGTAGAAATGGAGAGTGAGCTGTGTTTGAATGAGTGTCAATGGTTTGCAGTTGCGTGCATGTGTGTTGCAAAAAAAAAAACACAAACCCCAAAAAACAAAACGAAACAAAAACCAAAAATAAACCCAGAAGAGTAAAATCCTTCCAGTAACAAGATTATTTCTAGGCTGGGTGGCACTAAGACCCTGAAGTGTGGGGGCATTGAGTTTCTTGTTCTGAAAATCATTTTTGAATATGGTACTAAAAATCACACAGGAACATTTCTTATCCTATTTTGACATTTTTTTAAAAAAAAACAATCTCACTTTCACAACTTCCCGATATTGGAAGAAAGCACATGTGTGTGAGCTTCAGATAAATTCATATGTAATGGGAAAGGATTATGCCAGTTATTTTCTTTCCTTCTAAACATTTTTGCAATGTAGTAGTTTGAGCACTGGAATAGTGCTGTGGAAGACTAGGGTTTAAATCCCTTCGCAGCTGTGGAAAACCCCTGAGTGACTTCGCAAATATCAGTGACTATAAAAAACCACCAGCAGCAGAAACAACTGTGTGATTGTAACAAATGTAAACAAAATCACAGGTTTGGAAGTGTCAATGTAATTGACTATTGGGATATTTTAAAATAAAGATATATTGCTGTTTGTATCCCCTGCACCTTCCTAGTGATACTACTGCTAATACTCCTTAGAGCAGGCTTACTTAGAAAATCAATGTGCTGAAGGAGGCAGAATGCTAAACCAGAGGTCTAGCAACTTCCCCTCCTAAGAAGGAAGAGCTTATAAAGGACCAGAGTCAGGAGTCATGCATAAAAGATCAACTGAACTCCAGACAAAGAAAAGCTGTTTAGCATCTTACAATTCTTTCTTTCTAGTGTGTCTGACAGGTAGACTACAGTTGTATCTAGCACCCAGCCTTCCTGCTAGGATTTATAACAGAACACTGGCCATTTTCAGTAAATCCATTCAATCGATCTCTGTTCTAATAAAAGAAAACATAGTCCCTACCACCAATTTGTCCAATTCCCAGAAACACAAATAAGGGGCATCATCTACACTACCATACAAAATCCAGATTATCTGCTTTGAACTGGAGTATCTGGCAGATGATGTGCATTATCTGATATAGCAGTGTAGAAGGAGCCATAGATGCTGAGTGGTACTCCAGGAATATACATACACACTGTATCTCTTTTGGTATTGTCTGTTTATATTTACATGCTAGATAACATTTTAAAGCTAGAAGAAAAACATTTTGCCAGGTTGTTAATCTCAATCCTAAAATAGCTCTATTTTCAATTTCCGACCGCCAACATAGTTCATTTGGTCATAAGGACTGCATTTTTTTTTATGTGCACAACTGCCAAACTTGGAATAATCCAGAGCTTGTTACTTATTTGTTCAGTCGCTTCCAACTCTTCGTGACCTTATGGACCAGCCTACATTAGAGCTTCCTGCTGGCTGTCGCCACCCCCAGCTCCTTCAAAGTCGAGTCAGTCACTTCAATGATAACATCAATCCATCTTGGCCTTGGTTGGCCCCTCTTCCTTTTCCCTTCCATTTCCCCAGCCTCATTATCTTCTCCAGTGTATCTGTCTTCTCATCATGTGGCTAAAGCACTTCATCTTTGTCTTCAATATCCTTCCTTCCAATGAGGAGTCGGGCTTTATTTCCTGGAGTATGGACTGGTTGGATCTTCTTGCAGTCCAAGGCACTCTCAGAACTTTCCTCCAGCACCACAGTTCAAAAGCATATGTCTTCCTTTGCTCAGCCTTCCTTATGGTCCAATTCTCGCATCTATAGGTTGTTATGTGGAATACCACTGCTTTAATTATGCGGACTTCCCTTGCCTTTGTGATGTCTCTGGTCATTGCTCTCCTCCCAAGAAGTAAATGTCTTCTGATTTCCTGGCTGCAGGCCGTGTCTGCCGTAATCTTCAGTCTGGTTGCCATAATCTTGGTTTTATTGATGTTTAACTGCAACCCAGCTTTGGCCCTTTCTTCTTTCACCTTGGTTAGAAGGCTCCTCAGATCCTCCTTGCTTTCAGCCATCAAAGTGGTATCATCTGCATATCTAAGATTGTTAATTTTTCTTCCAGTAATTTTAACTCCTGTCTTGGATTCATCAAGCCCCACATGTTGCATGATATGTTCTGCATACAAGTTGAATAGGTAGGTGAGAGTGTACAACCTTGCCATACTCCTTTCCCAACCTTGAACCAGTCTGTTGTCCCTTGGTCTGTTCTTACTGTTGCTACTTGGCCATTATACAGATTCCTCAGGAGACAGACAAAGTGACCGAGAACCACTCATACCACCAAGAACTGGTCACAAGTTATTATGAACCACACAGTTCAAAGGCTTTGGAATAGTCAATAAAACGGAAATATATGTTTTTCTGAAACTCCTTGCCTTCCTCCATTATCCAGCAGAGGTTGGCAATTTGGTCTCTCATTCCTCTGCCTTTTTTAAACCCAGCTTGTACATCTGGCCATTCTCGCTCCATATATTGCTGGAGTCTACTTTGCAGGATCTTGAGCATTACCTTACTGGCATGAGAAATAAAGGCTACTGTGTGAAACTTTGAGCATTCTTTAGCATTTTCTCTTTTTGGTATGGGGATATCAGTTGATTTTTTCCAATCTGATGGCCATTCTTGTGTTTGTATTTGCTGGCATACGGCATGCATCACCTTGAAAGTATAATCTTTCAAGATTTTAAACAGTACAGTTGGGATCCCGTTGTCTCCTGCTGCCTTGTTGTTAGCAATGCTTCTTAAGTCCCATTCAACCTCACTCCTCAGGATGTCTGGTTCTAATTCATTCACCACACTGTCAAAGCTATCCTCGATATTATTACCCTTCCTATACAGATCTTCTGTATATTCTCGCCACCTTCTCTTGATCTCTTCTGCTTCTGTTAGGTCCTTGCCATGTTTTTAATTTTCTGGAAGAGGTCTCTTGTCCATCCAATTCTATTAATCCAAAGCTAGAAGGATATTAACAATATTTCACTTAACAGCTGGACAAAGAAGATCTGGAACATCTTCATGATGGAAAATTAACATCTACTACCTGAATCATTGGAAACAGTAAACTGACACAGACTTTTATATAATGTTATTTCCTTTTATTACCAATCACATTTGCCATGATGCTTTGATAAGGGAATTACCAACACCCTACAGTCTTTCAGTCCTGAATGTAAGAAGTTTTTAAAGTGTGCTACTAATATAACTCGAACTTTGTCCCATAACCCTAACTCGAACTTTGTCCCATTTAGGTTGGTTTGTAAAAATAAATAAATAAATAAATAAATAAATAGTCAATTTTGTACTCTTTTTCCTTCAATAACTGAATCCTGCAGTAATTTAATCTTTACACAATACTGGAGCCTCTCTTTCATTCTCTGAACCATATATAAATGTTTTCAATGTAAGAAAGCACACAAAATGTACATTCTAGCCAGTGCATTTACAGAACAATAATTTAACCATGAATAATATCTGAGAAAGTGCCCTTAAGGAACAGCTGTATCTAATCTAGAAACATAACCCTGTTTCAGAAAATAGTACCCAGTGCAGGGGTACATCTACACTGCTGAATGAATGCAGACCGACTCCACTTTAACCGCCATAGCTCATTGCTATTGGAATCTTGAAATTTGTAGTTTGATGAGGCACTGGCACTCCTTGGTATTGAAGGCTCCCATATCATGAGCCATGGTGGTTAATGTGATTTCAAACTGCATTCACTCTATTGTATAGATGCACCTCTGAGATTCTCCCACAATCCTGTGACCTGGAGTACCACAGACATTATGGCACAATAACATCATCCACCCCTACCCCCTGCCTCTGAGCCATATCACTTACTGTGGCCACAGATGAGAAATTTCTTAATACAAAGAACATATAGAGAACATAAATATATATCCATATCTTTTTAAGATCAGGAAAGACCTTGACACAGGAAGACCAGTTTTTGGGCTACAATTCTTGAACCTTATGCAATGCACTGTTATAATCCACATGAGAGATTATCCAATGCTTGGATAACTGTTGCCAGGCAGTCATTGTCCACATAAGTATATGAGTTGAGCTGATAAAAAAGTTTTCCAAAACAAGGAGGTCAGTCTGTACATCACAGATTCTGGAAGAGCAAACCATGCACCTCAGTTTTCAAAGGAATTTTTCAAGATTAACATGAAAACCACTCAATCTGGTAAAGAAGCTATTCCTTAAGAGTACCTTAAGCACAGCAAAACTACTGCTGGTAATTAAATGTCAGCCATACTATTAATATGCAAAAGCACATGTGATATTTCATTAATACAAATGATATCCTTTTTTATTAGCTATGATGTTCAGCAAAAGCACTTCTGACCAGTATCTCCCTACTGCACACAAACACACACTGCAAACAAAGGGAAAAATATCAACATGGAAGCAACCCCTCTCCCTCCCCCAAACCCCCCAAACATGTTTAACTGTTAATTCATCCTCTTGAGAGGGGCGCAGTGTGTGAAAGTTCCACGGAGAAGGCCAAGCTGCCCCTTGCAAGGTCATATTCTGCCACAGGTGTTGTGAAGCTTCTGCCCTTTATCCCACCGCTTCCCCACCAGATGTATGATTCTGCCAAAATCTCCACAGCCACTTCCACAAATCTTATTACAAACACCAAGAGTGAGGACTTTCTGCTCCAATAGATTCTCTTATCCCATTGCTGTGACCACCAACTATGGGGACCTACTAGGTGTCCTCAAGGCTCCAGTGTGGGATATGATGCAACTCCTATCCCCACAGTAGCTCTCTCTTTTCTCTGCTGCCATCATAAACACCCAGAGAGCAAAAGGGAGAAATGTGCCAAGAGGAAGGAATGTCAAGCAAACACTTGTTGGACTACCTTCCATTTGGAAATCCCATATCCTTATGCCTTTCCTAATGGTTCAAAACTCAAAAACAAACAATGACTTTTTCTAATAAATACCATTCCAAATTACCTAACCCAGGCATTGCTGAGTTCCTAAGCTAGTACACAGATAAAACACAAGACCACTAAAATACATATATTAAAAGACATAGAGATTAAGACACATTAAAATCATGCATACCAATCAAACCTGATTGTCATCACTCAATTCATTTAAAATTTGTAATGGAATACATTTAAAATGCATAGGCCACTCACTCACTCACTGGGGCAATTCACAATGTGCACTGAGAAACCTCTTGATGTGTTTGTGCCACTTACTCCCCAGTCAATGTGCATAGAAGATGGTGTGGGGGCCTTCATTGTTCTTATTGAGAAACAACAGGATTGTATTCATTTATTCGAGTTACATCCCAACTTTCTGCTCAAGCAGGACTTAAAGTGGTCAAATAAATCAACACACCAAAATACCTGGGAGACACGCTGGACCATGCTCTGACTTATAAGAAGCACCGCTTGATTATCAAGCAAAAAGTGGGTGCTAGAAATAATATCATATGAAAGCTGACTGGCACAACCTGGGGATCACAACATACAGTGAAGATATCTGCCCTTCGCTTTACTGCTCTGCTGTTGAATACGCATGCCCAATGTGGAATACATCGCACCTCGTTGAAATAGTGGATGCAGCTCTTAATGAGACATGCCCCATTATCACAGGATGTCTACGCCCCACACCACTGGAGAAATTACACTGTTTTAGCTGGTATTGCACCGCCTGACATCTGCCGGGAAGAAGCAACCATGAATGAAAGGACCAAGGGAGTGACATCCCCAGCCCATCCTCTGTTCAGATATTAGCCAGCATGCCAACAGCTTAAATCAAGAAACAACTTCCTAAGACAGAGACACTCACAGGAACACCTCAGCAAGCCAAAGTCCAAAAGTGGCAGCACCTTAATCAGAGTGCACAGAGAAGATTCAGTGCCTTGGAAGGCGCTGAACAGACCGTACTCTGGCACCACGAGATGCAGAGTCAACCTTAAGAAATGGGGCTACAAAGTGGAGTCTATGACATGAGAGTGAGGAGAAGAGGAAACCACAGGTTACTACAATGTAACCTGCCACATGCACAATGGAGGGCCTTCTCACAGTGACACCAGAGGCACTCTAAGTAGCCAGCTTCTGGTCAAAAGAAATTTAGTCTAATGCCAAGTTTTAAAAACGCTGTGTTTTTAAATGCATTTTAATTCGCTTCTGACACAATTAATAATTTAAAAAACCACTCTACTGCTGGAGTGAAATTGGGGTGGGCGGCTTTCCCTTCCAGGCTGAGCAGGAGGAGAGTGAGGCCTTTGCATTGTCGAAGGCTTTTATGGCCGGAATCACTCGGTTGTTGTAGGTTTTTCGGGCTGTATGGCCATGTTCTGGAAGCATTCTCTCCTGACGTTTCGCCTGCATCTACGGCAGGCAACCTCTGAGGATGCCCGCCACAGATGCAGGGAAAAAGTCAGGAGAGAATGCTTCTAGAACATGGCCGCACAGCCCAGAAAACCTACAACTCAGAGATGGCTTTGCTCCAGGTGTTGCTCGCCAGGTGAAGAGAAACACCTGCTCTGCCTCCCCTTCCGCCACAGCCATTAAAGAGGCAGGAACACCGTGGCCACCCTAGAACATGCGCGGGCTACAGTGGGCCCACGAGACTCCCCCTCTCCGTGGATACCAAGGTCGTGGCGTCTCCCTCCTCACGGAGCCAGGTGGGCCGCACCCCTCCTCCTCTCCCTCCCTCCCTCCTGTCGCAGAGGCCTCTAGGAGGCAGGCGGGTCTCCAGGCAGGCAGGCAGGCAGGCAGGCAGGCGGCCTCCTTCGCCCGCGCCCTTGTTTCCAGGGGGCCTTGTTTGGTGCGACACCGCCGCAGCCTGCTCGCCGGCCGGAGTGGGATGGCGGAGGCGCCGCCGGGCTCTCGACGCAGCGCCCTGCCGGGGGCGGCCTAGGCACCAGGTACCCCAAGGCGGGAGGGGAAGGGCCGTGGGCGGGGCGTGGGCCAAGAGGGGGCTGAGGGAGGGGCGGGGGGCGGCCTGCTTGGGGAGGACTGCTGTTGCCTGCTCAGGCGGAGGGGCAGCTCCCCTTTGGGCCCGGCCGGGTGCCCTTGTGGAGAGCCCTCTGAGTACGGGGCGGGGCGGGGAAGGGGAGCTCACCCTGCCCCGCAGATACAAACCGCTGACCTTCGAGCCAGCCAGTTCTGCAGCTTAGCGGCCCCACAAGCCCTAGTGAGGCAGAATTGGAGAAGGGGCCTAGCTGGGCTCCATACAGGAGTTGTGCTACTGGTTTGGGTTTAATCAGGCATCCTCCAACTGCGGCCCTCCAGCTGTTTGGGCCTTCAACTCCCAGAAGTCCTGACAATTGAACAAGCCTGTTAGGGCTTCTGGGAGTTGGAGGCCCAAACAGCTGGAGGGCCGCAGTTGGAGGATGCCTAGATTAGATAATGAGAGATTGCTTCCGGACTTACGTCCGAGGACAATTGTTGTATCTGGGCGTTGTTCACTCATATTGGCCCAACTGTCATCACTGGCTTCACAATTTACACACCTTTGCAAACTTTGGTTGGCTTTCTGTCACTCAGATGTTTTATGTCATTATATAAATTTGTTTGAATATGGTTTGTTTAATTTATTGATGTTAGGTTCTGATGTTTTATTCTTTATTTATTTCCAGTATTTATATTCCACCCTTTTCACCCTGCAGGGGACTCAGAGCGGATTACAATGCACATATACATGGCAAAAATTCAATGCCAGTTAGACATACAACCTATATAGACAGACACAGAGGCAATTTAACATTCCAGCTTTCCGGCTTCATGAGGGTATGCTCCATTCCGGCCACAGGGGGAGCTCCTGCTTCCCCGTCCATTTGTGACACCGAGTCCTTTGGTGGAGTACTTCCTCATTCTTCTGCACACTGCTGGAAGGTTTTTTTAATGGTGTCATAAATTAGATTAAATCACCCTCCCCACATAAAGTGGTACCTAAATTTCCTACTTGACAGATGTAACTATCTTTCAGGCTGCAAAGATTGACCGCAAGCTAGACTAATGGCCAGAAGCTTACTCTGATCCAGGCTGGCTTCTAACTCATGACCTCTCAGTCAGTAGTGATTTTATGGAGCTGGCTATCAGCTAGCTGCGCCTCATGTTATTTTCATATGTGGAGTTATTTTGGATTACTTGTTAACATTTGTTTGTTTTATTGAGGCATTGAATGTTTGCCTTTTTGTATGTTGGAATCCGTCCTGTGTCCCTCTGGTGAGATAGGGCGGAATACAAATAAAGTTTATTATTAGTATTACTACTAATAATACTAGTTTTGAGTGCTGCAGGTACAAAGTGGCCACCTCTTGACTTGAGGTATTTTAGAATGGCAGTTGAGCTCCTTTGCGTAGTCTTAGCCATATGATCCCTATGGACTTTTCTGCTACTGGTAGAAAGGAGGACTACTACCAGGTATTTGAAACAAAGGACCTGCTCAATTTAATGCCTGTTTATTCTCCAGGAGCCCCCGGTGACACGGTGGTTAAACTACTGAGCTGCTGAACTTGCTGACCAAAAGGTCGGTGGTTCAAATTCAGGGTGTGGTGTGAGCACCCGCTGTTAGCCCCAGCTTCTGCCAACCTAGCAGTTCAAAAACACGCAAATGTGACTAGATCAATAGGTACTGCTCTGATGGGAAGAAAGCAGCGGTCCATGCAGTCATGCCAGCCACGTGACCTTGGAGGCATCTACAGACAGCAATGGCTCTTCGACTTAAAAATGGAGATGAGCACCACCCCCAGAGTCGGACACGACTAGACTTAATGTCAAGCGAAAACCTTTATCTTTTTTATTCTTCAGGAGTTACTTTTGGTTTTTAGGCAAATGCCATGATTTTGGTTTTCTGGTAGTTAAGTTGTAGCTAATCTGCTTTACAGTATTTTGTTAGTGCTCTCAGTGCTCTTTTAAGGCCAGTAAGTGTTCTTGAGAGTGGTGCTGCATCATCTGCATAGAGTAAGGTGGAAATATTTCTTTCCACAAGTTTTGGGAGGTGGAAGTCCATGTTGTGAAGATGATCCACCATGGTGTTGATGTAAAAGTTAAATGGTAGTGGGGCCAGGATGCAGTCTTGCTCAACACCTTTCACAGTTCCAACTGCATTGGTGAGGTGGCCCTAGGGGCTACATCTTATTTTCAGTGAGATCCCTTCATGGAGTAGGTGGTTTAGGTAAAGTAGTCATTGGTCACTTGAGGAGGTCGCCAGTTTTTTACATAGTTTAACTCGAAAGATGGAACTGAAAGCTACTTTAAAACCTATAAAGGTCACACAGAGCTAACGTGTTATGGAAGGAGTATTTTTCTACAAGATGTTGTAATACTAGGCATTTGGTCTATGGTGGATTGGCCTTCCCCAAATCTGACTTGCTCCTTGACAAGTATGTCTTCTTGTTCCAGACAGTCCAGGAATTTTTATTGTAGATGTCTTGCATATATATATTGCTGATTGTATTGAGGAGGCTGGTTGGACTGTAATTTGCAGGGTAATCCCTTTTCCCTTTTTAGACATGTATAATTTTGTGAGACAGAAATTCAGTTTTACTACCAAGCCAGAAATTAAACCATGTTCTTATAAGAGATAAGGAAACATGCATAAATTATAATAATGAAATTAAGAAGGACACAACATATCTTATGACGTTTTTTCATTTATATTTTAAAAAATATATCTAAACATATATATTTCCAAGGTTTTTTGTCATTATTATGTTTGCACAATACGTCTACACGTTTCAGACAATAATGTGTTGTGACACACAGTTTGGAAAGCTCTTGCATACACCATCAGGGATTTATTGGCACTCTCCCATCCAAGTACTTATCAGGTCTGGCCCTGCTTAGCTTCCAACATCAGATGGGAACTGGTGTTTTCTGGTATTTAGGTAGTTGGATGGTAAGGTGAACCTATCATGGAGTAGTTGGTTTTTTTTTTGTTGGTTTTTTTTTTTTGACAAAATTTGTTCAGAGGACATTTGCTTTTGCCTTCCTCTAAGGGTGAGAGAATGTTACTTGCCCAAAGTTAGCTAGTGGGTTTCCACAAGCAAACTGGGATTTCAAACCTGGTCTATAGTGCCATAATCCAGAACTCAAAGGGCTACACCACACTGGCTTTTATTTGCTGTTATAGTCTCATAAATGTTCTCTATTTTCAAAGAAGGACTGCCAATTTCTAAGCAATTACCTGGGAAATGTATTTTTTTATGAGGAGGAGGGATCAATGTATACTGGAATTGTGTCTGTTTATTTGAAATGTAGAGATTTTCCAACCCTACTGATACAGCTTCATGGGGTGTAAAAAGTGGGGGAAAGAAAATAAAAGTAATAAATAAATAAAAAATCACTTTCAATTGTGCTCCTAGATTATTCCCACATACATCCACTTCCCCGACCCCTTCTCTTTATGCTGAAACAGACCAACACACCTATTTCTTTGAAACCCTCATAGAACAGGGAGTAATAAAACCATTGTTTACCAACAATTTAAATCAGGTTCCTTGCAGTGTTTTGCTTATGTGGAACATAAGCACCAGGATTGTGGCGCAGGTGGCTGAGTGTCAGCTGCATTAAGATCACTCTGACCAAAAGGTCATGAGTTCGAAGCCAGCCGGGTTGGAGTGGGTTTCCAACCAATTGTGTGTAGCCTGTTGTCGACCTTTGCAACCCGAAAGACAGTTTCATCTGTCAAGTAGGAAAATAAGGTACCACCTTAAAGTGTGGGAGGCTAAATTAAGAGATTTATGAGGCCATAAAGAAGACTCCAGCAAAGCATTCCAGTGGGGAAGCATGTGGGGAATGCGGAAGTGCTTTATCAGCGTCGCAGATGGACGATGAAAGCGACAGCTCCCCTGGCGGCCAGAAAAAAGTTAAATAGCCTCTGTGTATGTCAGTATATGTTTGTATGTCAAAAATTGGCATTGAATGTTTGCCATATATGTGTACACTGTAATCCGCCCTGAGTCCGCTACGGGGTGAGAAGGGCGGAATATAAAAGCTGTAAATAAATAAATAATAAATAACATCAATGGAGAAGATGACAGTGTTGTTTTGGTGCTATTTATGTAGCATTATGTTCAATATAGTCTTGATTTAGAGTGTAGCATTATTAAGGTGCAAAAATGCAGTGGTGAAAAAACCCATTGGCTTCTATTTGAGCTGTCAGCAATGGGTGCAAGTCTTTAACAAATCGGAATAACAAAACAAGGAGTAATGTGATAATGTAAAGCAGGGTAAATGGACACTCACAACTGTTCCTGACTTTATAGTCCTATAAAAATTGCAATGTTTATTCCGTTATAGTTCTGCAAAAATATAGTAGAGGTCTGCAAGTAGTATTATCTGAATTGAACATGTTACACACACATTTTCATCACGCACATGGACACCAAGACTCCTCAAATATTTATTCATCTTATACAAAATGTGTTTACACAGATGTATATGTATTTAGATAAAATTACTCAATATTTTGTGCATTCCACTGAATGTGCTTACTGCAGGGAACTCTGCATATGATAAAACTGGAAGACATGTAAATGTCATTGCCAAGAGTTAATACTTGAACACTTTTAATAGTCACTGTATCCAATGCTACTTTTTAAAAATGCAGTTTTGTCTTTGCTTGAATCAATAGGAGAATGTTGGCTCTATTGTTTAAATTTTCTTCCAGTCACAGGAAGATGACCAAACTTAAGGGATTTGAGTTCTGGAAAAATACACTGAAAAGTGCCCGCTTTGTGGTTGCTCCCATGGTGGATCAGAGTGAGTTGGCTTGGAGACTGTTAAGCCGCCGCCATGGGGCCCAGCTGTGTTACACTCCTATGCTGCATGCTCAGGTCTTTGTCAGAGATGCCAATTACCGTAAGGAAAACTTATATTGTGATGTGTGTCCAGAAGATAGACCTTTGATTGTGCAGGTAATAACAATTGCATGGTTTCTCCTTCAGTTTTGTACTCTAGAATATTATGAAATGCTACTCTGTAATAAATATTTTAGAACAATGGTTTACAACTACCTACATGATACAATATTAATTATAAAACTGCAAATCCACCCATGTGGGAGACAATAGATAATACATACTAATTGTACAAAGAGATCATGTTCAGTGCACAAACACTTCCCTATAATAACAATCTGACTGCTGCAAATGGATTTCTCCATGAAATAGAATGATGAGAGGCAGCCAGGATGTGTTTGGGTGATTCTTTTTTATTCTAACAATTTCTTCCAAACTGGAACTGTTGTCAAATTGGCTTGTTTTTGTGTTTATGCTTTGTCAACCTTCCTTTCGATGATGATGATGATGATGATGATGATGATGATGATGATGATAATAATAATAATAACAGCAGATATATATCTCAGTTTTCATTGTGGCAAGGGAGTAGCTGACAGATGTCTCTAGGAAACAACCTCATTGACACAGATTGTTGTGTACATCCGTGGCACTATCTTCCCATGTTTCTTAGGGAGGAGTTGCCTCACCACAATACAAGCTGGCATGGACAGTGATCCAAATAACATTGCAAAACAGTGTATTTTAAAAATACGGGATGGATTTCTCCATGAGCATTACAATGAAACTTGAAAGTTAAGAGGAATTACTGGGGAGAGTTTCTGGACATGGAATCCTGGTGTCTGGAAACTTTTTATCTGTCTATATTTTCATGAAGAAAACTTTGTAATGTAATGCAGGCAAACATCACAAGGTGTGTACTAATAAGACAGGAGAGTTTTTACTCTGTTATCTTAAATAGAATGACGATGATATTTGACTGTTCAATTATATAGTAGTCTATTTTATTCATATGTTTCTGGTATTTCGGTGTTGATATGTCTGATTTATTCTTTGCCTTCTATATACCTTTCACAGTTTTGTGCCAATGATCCAGAAGTGTTTGTTCAGGCCGCCTTGCTGGCTCAGGATTATTGTGATGCTGTTGACCTGAATTTGGGATGTCCTCAGATGATTGCAAAGAGAGGTATATGCATACTAGAATCTGAAATAACACAGGCTTATGTGGGCTTAATGTGGGTGTAAGGCCCATAAAACGTATTAGCATTGCTGAGTATGTTCTTTGGCAGCTGCAATCCAGATGAATTAGAGAGACAGTGCAATTCAAACATGTACTTGCAAACTGGGTTTAATGGTCAGTGCTGCCTGGGAGTCTGAGTTTAGAATGGCAGCCTTGCTTTCTACTACTGTTATAACATAAAACACACACCCATTTAATTCTCTTAATTTAAATTTCCTTTTGATTGCTTTACTGGGCTACTTTATTTCTTGGCTCCCTGACAATATAATTCCTGACAATATTTCGAAAATAAAGAGAGCACTCTTTAGATGAGGAAAGGGCAGATAAGATGCTGAGTTGGGGTCCTGGGAACTTCAGTTGATGTGGAAAGCACAGAATTTTAATGGGAACTCCCTCTACTGAAGCTTTCAGTCTCTGCCAAGCACTAGCCCATTGTATTTCTCATATGAACTGTGAGGGAATAGCTTATCTTTTAAGTAGGATCTAGAAAATGCAGTTCATTGTCCAAGTAGAAACATTTCTGTGAATCTATTTAACTGTGGATGTTTTTAGTAGCCCACAGTAAATTATTTCATTTGGCTGTGTTTTTAAAAAATACTTATTTATTGGTAGGTCACTATGGAGCATTCCTACAGGAAGAATGGGACCTTCTTCGGAGAATGAGTAAGTCTCTGAAGCTCTTGAGAAGCATGTAAATACAATAATTGTCTGGAAGAGTTAGTGTATATGGATTCAGCTTTAATCTTTACAAGAAGGCATTGTCTTTTAGAGGTGAACTGTGGCACTTTTTAATTAATATAGAAAGTTGGTGGAAAAAAAAGAAAGCAGAGCTGGCTAGTTGTAAGAATAAAGAGAAAAATAAATAAAAACTGTCTTTGGGGTACAATTTTATTTATATGACATAAGGTTTTATAACAAAAGATCTCATTGTTGCTCATATTAAACTATGATTTAAAAACAGTGGAATGAAAAACAGAGGGGAAAACAACTTAAAATATATAAATTTAAACTCAAATATATCAATTTAAAATCAAAACACATCAGGAAAAAAATCACACATATGTAAGTAAAGTTTCAAGCTTTAAAAGTCTGAGAATAGAAAAGTCTTCACCAGCTGCCAGAAAGAAATTTGAGTAAAAATAAACAAGGCCTCTCTGAGATGGGCATTCTTTAAGGGCTGCCGGTAGCATGGAGAACCCATAACTCTGCAGCCACCTGCTCCATATCAATGGGACACCCAGAGATGGATCTCAGATGAAGATCTTGAGGGCAGGATAGATTTTCAGCCGAGACAAATGCTCCCCATGCAAAAGAACACATGATGGTGTTCAGCCTTTTGTGCTTTTACTTGAGGAAAGATCATTTTTATTCTTCTGGGTAGAATCCCAACATACTCCCATCAGGGTTACAGTCAGTGAAACAGAGGCACCATTTCCAGTGAAAATATAATTTCCCCTTTCTTTGGTAGCAATCTCTACCATGCTTTAAATCTGATCCAGAAAGTTTCCAGGAGATGTGAGGAGGAATGAGAGAAAACTGCTTTCCTCTTTCTGCCGACATAAGTCTTCTATTGTAGAAGGGAATTCAGACCTCTTTTTTGCTTGCTGTTCCATTATGTAGTAGGCCATGTAGTTTATGCAAAGCAGGGAGAGAAAGCAGTTCTGCTGTTTAAAGCTCTGTTACAGATTATCAACAAGTGATCTTTGTCTTGTTTTCCAGTTATGTTGGCTAACGAGAAGCTCTCTGTTCCTATCACATGCAAAATCCGTGTTTTCCCAGAAATTGCCAAGACTGTGAAATATGCCCAGTTGCTGGAAGAGGCTGGTTGTCAAGTAGGGAATCTACTGTTCCCTGTTACTTTGCATTAATTACAGGGCTCTCATATTCTTCAATTTTAGTAGCTTATATTCCATAAAGAGAAAGGATGAAGTAAGATACGTATCTCCTAGCAAAGTTAGGACCAGAAATGAGGCGTCCTGATTGAGTTCATTGTACTGAAACAAGTTGGAGGCTGGAAGCTTTCACCTGTGGAACAGTACGTTCTGAGAAAATAGATTGCTGCTGGGGTTTGTCACTGAACCGCAGTTCAGTGAAGAAAGTGAAAACAAAGATATCACCGCCAGTCCTACTAATCTGTGTGCATTTTTATAGAAAGCAATAGATCCACATTCAAGTTTCATTTTTTGATTGAAATTAAAACAGAGTTCTTACAACATAGGCTTTAGTTGTGTTGTTTGAAGACACTCCCTTGCTCTTAGTAGAACATTTGGTGTTCAGAATGTTTCAGGTTTGAGGCTTCACAGTTGAAAATGGGAGGATTGCCATTTAATTTGAATCCTTACCCAGCATTAGAGGCAGAGAATCATAACACAAAGAGCATGGGGGAGGACTGCACATTTTCTCATATATTCACTTCATGCACCTTGAACAACAACTATAACTCTGTCCTAGCTCCTGACTGTCCATGGTCGCACTAAAGAACAGAAGGGGCCTCTTGCAGGTGTAGCCTCCTGGGAGCACATACAGGCAGTGAGGTAAGCTTCCAGCTGGCAGCATGGTGATGTGAAACAGTTTTTTTAAATCATGTTACCAAAGACTAAGACTAAACCCATGCAGCTATGGACACATTGACACTAACCATGTATTGCAGCTTGAAACTGATTGTAAACTACAGGAGCTATAAAACACACTCCACTAAAGTATGCTGCAATGTATATTAAAGTGTCTAAAGTGAATCAAGCCAAGTTGGGGGAATGGCCAAGTTAAGCCTCTTAACACATTTCAGTGAGCCCTACTTCTAAACCACATTGCACGTTGAGATCAACTCTGCAGAATGTGAAGGCACTTTAAAGATCCTCACCTGCACTAGAGTGCTTTGTGAAACTGGAATGAGTGCTGCCTAAAAACACCCCAAGGGCATAGTTGGGCAGCAGAGGGCCAACTGACCATCTGTGATGGGTAATTGATTTACCTTCACTGCTAATTATCACTTTCCTTTCCACYCCCCCCCCCCTCCCCGCCCATGCCTCTGGAGCGCTAGTGCACATCTTGCTTGGAAATGTGAAAAAAATACTGCAGATTCTGGAACCAATTTGAGGCTACCATCCATTGTTAAATGTAATCCCCTTCCTGGTCTCAAACCTGTTTCAGACATGTCAATCTAATCATCTGCAGCAAAACCAGCTTTTCCCAAACCAGATCCAAACTGACATAAGTGGTCAGTTTAGGAGTGCCCTAATTAAGTGGTTCTTAATTAGAAGTGATATTGACACTTCTATCACAGTGATAGAAGAAAATGTTTTTAGATTTGCCTTGCTCTGGATTTTCTTTGCACTTATATTTATTTCCTTTTTTTGTCTACCGCTATAGAAAGGCTGTGAACATCCCTGTCTTTGCAAATGGAAACGTACAGTACCTGAATGATGTGGAAAGGTGTATTCAGAAGACAGGAGTTCAGGGTGTCATGAGTGCAGGTAAGAGAGCTTCTCCTTAGACACTTTTAAATTACTCTGTTCAATGAAGCCATAATAAATTCTAGGTCCACGTCATATTAATTGACCTTGCTTCAAATATAGTTGTGTGATTCTGCCTCTTAAAACATTACTTTAAACTTTGGGGAATTATTTATTTTATATCCTGTCTTTCTCCCAGTGTATAACCTAAAGTGGCTTGCTTACAGCATACAGTTGGCCCTCCATAATCCATAAAATCTATCCATGAATTCAGCCATCCACAACCTGAAAATACCACCCCTCTAAAAAAAATCCAACAAGTAAACCTTGATTTTGCCATTTTACAGCATTGTATATCATGGGACTTGAGTATCCACGGATTCTGATATCCATGGGTAGTCCTAGAACCAAACCATAGTGAGAGCAAGGACCTACTATAAAACAAATATAGATAAAACAATGTATAATACAAAGCATTAAAATAAATAAGCAATCCCGGGTCCTTACCAGATGTCCCTATGACAGTGATGGGGCTGAGAAGAACCCTTTCCTGAATGATATTAGAAGTCAGGCAGCCTCACATAAGGCAAAACAGTCTTTCAGATAGTCATAATCAGCCCTTTGAATTGTACCCCCAATCAAACCAGTTTGAATAGACAGTGCAGGCTCCATTTCAGTTCCTTGGCTGTGGTAGCTGACATGAGTAGAGTGATAAGATAGTTACCTAGACATATGTTTATTGCTTTTAGTTAATTATGTTATATATTGCTTTTGTATGCATATTGTTGCATCGAATTTTGCCAAGTTGTAAGTCCCCTTGGGGTGAAAGAGAGCGGGATAGAAATGTAGTAAATAAATAAATAAATTGATTTTAAGAAGAGGAGGTCATTAATTTGGTCCAACTTAGTTCACATTAATAGATAAAAGTTTTCCTTTGACCTTGGTCTGTGTAAAGTAACAGTGTCGATCAAGAACATTGGCCATACATGTAATATCCACTATGATTTTAGCGGAAGGTGGAACAACACAGTATGAGACAGACATTTGTCTAACTTTGGGCACTTGAAGGTTGAGTTATGGAGGAATTTGTTGTCTTTTGAAATTATTTATTAAACGTGTAGTGGTTGTCCAGGAAGTAAAGCAGGAAAGGTTGCCTACCGACTAGTGTAATGGTTAGAGCTATGATCAAATCCATACTCAGTTACCCTGCAAATGAATGAGCAATAGAGCATTGTGGCATTCAAACTCAAATGTGTTTAAAAACTCAAATTATGTTCTTGTCATTTTTTTCAGATTTCAGAAACTAAATTAAAATGCTTAATCAGTTTGAATGATTGGGGGCAGATGCCAGTCTTGGTAGGCTCATGTTTCCAAATCCGAATTTGCACAGGGAATGCAAATGGAACACTTAGGGGGAGAAATTGGCAGGTGATGGTGGACCTTAATTATTTCTCTACCAAAAAAAACTCCTCCATCCCTTCTCCTCCCCACACGGGACTAATCGCTATATCCAGCTCAGGAAAAGAGTGTAAAAAAGCACACAGATTAGAATTTAGAAAAAGATGAAACACAGTCTGCCCTGCTGCCATTTCCCCCTAGAATTGCTCCACCACCATCCGCCCCAGTGTGTTAGCATTATGAAACTAGCTCCAAAATCACAGGTGTAAAACAATTAAAATCTTACTTCTGGCTCTTTCTTCTCAGAGGGCAATCTTCACAATCCAGCTTTGTTTGAAGGAAGAAACCCTGTAGTTTGGGAGATGGCTGAGGAATACTTGGAAATAGTACAGCAGTACCCTTGCCCTCTGTCCTATGTCAGGGCTCATCTCTTTAAGCTTTGGCATCATACGTGAGTAATTGGGTTGCTTATATCCCCTCATATGACATTCTGTAAGCTAAGAAGGGCATATCAGAGCTAGGCCCATCTAAAGAATACTGGATTTGGGATCTTTTTGATGGGTGAGCGACACAACTAACATTATCTTTCCCCCAGGCTGCAAGTTCACCATCAGCTGCGTGATGAATTAGCAAAAGTGAAGTCACTGGATGGACTTATAGCTGTTAACCAAGAACTGAAGTTACATTGCCAGGTACTTCCATTTACATGCATTTGTGATGGATCCCCTCTCAACCCCATAGTCGGTAACACTTTTTGTTCTCTCACTCTTCTTGATCCCTTGGCCCTCAAGAACCTTCCCTAGATTATGTATTGGGCCTCAAGATGAGCCCTATGTGGACCAGTGGTTGTGATATTCTGTTGATTCTCTGAGGTATCCAGGATCCCTATCAAAACTTAACAGAACAACCAGGCATAGTTTAAAGAAAAAATAATCAACAATCATACATTTGTTAATACACAATTAGATCAGACATTAACCCCTGAATTGTTTGATTATGAACAGTTTCCGCAAACACCTATTCAATTCTTCCCCCCTTTGACTGTCCTGTCTCTATTACAGTTTCCCCCATCTCTGTATCCTCTCCTTCCTATCCCTCTAATGCTTTCCCTGTCTCTAGGCTACCCTTTCATTATCTCACTGCAAACTTTTCCCTATCTGCCTTCTGTTAGAGACAAACCCCTGCTTTGTGTCCCTTCTTCCCCATAGACCCCCCACCTCTTCACAAAGTTCCCTCAGCTGTGATTGGCTAGCATCAGTCAGAATGGTCCAGCTTCTACCTTCACATCATTATTTTCCTCCATGGTATGACCTAACATTGTACCATCAGCTTTGAGCCACATGCCATCTTTATTTCTCTAGATTGCCTCTAAGCCCCAACTAAGCGTACTGCTTTCAGAACAAATGACAATGACAACTGGCTGGAGTGCTATTATGGACTGATTATAAAACATTCTTCTGACCAAAGAAAGAGAAAGAGGTTCTGCCACTGCCTGGTAGACTCAGATGAAGGGAAAATGACAAGGAGGAGTAAAAACATGCAGACAGGTGCTGTGGTTGTGGTGACAAATATGGGAAGACAGTAGCTGGCATTAGGCAGAGAAGACAGTACGGAGTGACATGGGATAGGAAAAGCATGTCTGTGTGTGTGAGAGAGAGAGAGAGATTGATATTGAAGGAGTGTGTGAGTGCAAGAGTTTGCTCAGCAATTCTTGTGTATTCAAGTTTTTAAAACCTATTATTTTAATTCATGTTTGCTCTCTGTGAATTGGCAGTAACAATGAATGGCTTCAGACAAAGCTGAATTTGTCGTTATTTCTTATTGTGCTCACAGAAAGAAATAGCACAATTGAAGGAAGGAGAGAATCCACAAGGAGGATTGCCATTCTTCCATTGGATTTGTCAGCCATATCTCCGGCCAGGGTGAGTCTCTGTATTGCAGTGCAATGTGTTGCACAAAGTCATGCAGTTAAGCCAATTACCTACAATCTTTGAATGATAGCTTAGCAAACTTACCAGTGTGTAGAGGCCAAAGATGAGTTCCTTTTCACCATCTCTGGCAACAAGTGGGGGAAATCAATTGCAATAGAGGTGATGATGATACTTTATCCTCTTTCCTTTGAATGCCCATCTTGTCCCCGCTTCCCCTCACCCTTGTATGGTGAAATATGCATATAATTTACCCTTCAATTTCATTCTGGATTTGAAGATTCCTTCCTAAGCCTCAAACAAAGAATTTTTTAGTCACACATAGTGATAGTTCTTTCTGAGATTGGTTGGGAGGCAATAATGTAATTTTGCCATAAATGGACAATATCATTTTGAATAAGTAAGAGATTCTTTTTCTCAAGAACAGTATGTGATCTTTCCTGATTAATACATAGGGAATATTTTCCAAGGAGTCTAAAATCCTGAATATTCTACCAATGTAGATATGGGACATGAATCATAGAATCATAGAGTCGGAAGAGACCTCGTGGGCCATCCAGTCCAAGCCCCTGCTAAGAAGCAGAAAAATCCTGGGTAGTCTGCCAATACTTTCATTACCTGACTAGCTCATAACTATTGCTTCATTTTTTCCTTCGAGTACCTATATAATGCTTCCCAGCAGAAGTTGGTGGCCTAGGCTCCCCTGCCAGCCCTGGCCAGTGTAATTGATGACAATGGATGCTGGGAATTGTCATCCAGCAATGTTTGGAGAGCAGCATTTTGCCCACCCTTGCTGTTTTCCATATACTACTGGTGTCTATAAAAAAGAAAGCACTTGCTGCCTTATATTTTTAAATACTGTGGTGTTTAACCTTCACAGGCCCAAAGAGACATGCAAGGAAAATGGCACTAGTAGGATTGAAGGCAGTACACGGGGAAAGCGAGCTTTGGAAGATGAGGAAGATGGGACCTTGGATTCTCTTTCAAAGAACAAACAAAAGAAGAAATTAAGAAATCCTAATAAAAGCTTTGATCCATCTTTAAAACGTAAGATGTAGGGCTGCAATATTTCATTGTTGTGATAGATGTACCACTTCCAAATTTGGCAATGTGTCAGGAGTTGTGATAAACCCCAGCCATTTGTGCCCCTAAAGCAAGGTGTTTAAGGAGTATATACTTTTTCGTAGAAGAATATCTTTGAAAGCCATCTAGAAATGTTCTCCAATAAAACAAGGTGCAGATTTATGGCTCACACTGCTTTAAACCAGAATTTATTTTTATTTTTTTTACATGAGCTTGCTTGCTTAAAAGGACTTGCTTGCTTAAAATTGTGCACTCTTGTGATGTTATATTAAATTCCTTTTGATCAATTAATGTTCTGGATGAATTAGATGGCAGACTTTCAATATATCAAATGGCTTTTTGAAAAATAATTTTAATGTAAACATGGTAGAAAGTACATTGTAGAATGGGCCTTTGCTTTTGTTGCACTTAAACAGGAAAGACAGCTTTTACAAAATATGTTTTTCTTTGGTGGAATTATATAAATTTAATCAAATAATGTGGCATTTGACAACATAATAAGTAAGTACATATAAAACATCCCTTATTTCAACAAATTCAAAATATGGTACTTCAAAATCCCATCCTGGCCACATGGGAGGCAGAAATAGTAACACCTTTTTTGGAAGTTCACTGTATTTTGTTCCATGTACAAATAATTTAAAATATTATCTAAAACTACCTTCAGGCAATGTGTATAATAGATATACGGAACATAAATGAATATTATATTTAGACTTGTTGTCCCAGTATATGTGAATACAGGTACACCAAAAATTCCAACCCCCCCCCCCCAAAAAAAAAAACCAAAACAAAAAAAGAAGCCAACCTGAAACCCTAAACATTTCTGGTCCCAAGCATTCTGGATAAGAGAAGCCCAGCTTGAACTGTATTTCATCACACAGAGGAACATTCAGCACACATTGCCCAAGAGGTCCTTAATTTGGCGACAGCCTTAATTATATGCAGAAATTTCTTATTCCAAATTGCATAGGCAGCACCATGGGAAATTTGTTTGTCACACCTTTCCCCTTATGTGGCTGATAACCTTTTGTGTACAGAACATAAAGGTCAAAAGTGTTGTAGAAATATTAGTCAGAAAATGCAGATTTTCAAGTAAAGTTGTTTTGACTCCTAAACCTGGTAAGTTTTGTTTAGAGTTGTTTTATGCTATCAGCCACTGTAGTGAAAGTTTACTTTGAATAATTCGTTAAGTGCAATCCCTGTTTTCTTCATTTCTTTCTGAATAATTTTACTTAGGCATTGGATTAATTTTTTGATCTTCAAATTAAGAATTCTAACTTCAAGGTATCTGTATTGGTTAAAATCCCTTTGCTTTGTTATATTTTCTCCTATAAATATATTTCAAATTGTCAATAACTAAAATATAAAAAGATTCCAGTTTGAACTATTAAATGTTTTTCTTTCTTTCAGCTAAATATGCGAAATGTGATCAGTGTGGAAATCCAAAGGTAGGTCTGTCATCATCTGTTTCTCTTTCTGTTGATACTAATACCTTTGTCATCAAATACTAAGTAAGATTACAATTACTATTATGTATTCTTATGATAGTAGGAGTGAAACTGCTGCCCAAGGCAAAGCTTAAAGCTTGAATTGCTTTGTTCTCTTTTCTCAAAAGAGCAGTTTGTTGGTTAGCGCTTTATTGCTAAGTACAATCTGTTACAATTGTTACAATCTGAAATGCTAGTCTTGAAAACTTTCTCGAAAGGAATTGTCTGCCAACTGAATAATACCACTTAAATCTAGAATGCATGCCTTTTCCCCATAGACTTCTGCATACATGCCTCTGTCTGACAGAACGTCATTAGACTACTAGAATTAAGGGTGTTGTTTGGAGCTATAACATTACATGTTTTATGATCCTGCTCTTTGTGCCATATGTGTGTGTACATATACACATATACATATACATACATATACATATACATATATATATGATTGTGGTTTGCTTTAAGTAATTTCAGTAGTGGATGGCATATTTTGGTCACTCAGCAGTTAGCTGTTCTGGTCTTTGGTGATGAGCTGCCATCTGCTGGGCAGAATCGTTTTCCATTATATTCTGGGCTAGACTGTATTGTACCGAAAAGAGCTGAAAATGTGACTCCCTACCTCCTGTGTTGTCTTTATAATTAACTGAATACTTTTCCTATTAAACTTCTAAAAGTAGATAATAGATTGTTTACATATTTTTAAAAGGAGTGTGATATCACTAATCATTTTTTTATTTTGTTTTGTTTTTTGTTTTGCTCCAACAAGGGTTGGATAAGGATGCTAAAAATAGACAATAGCATCAGTAGCATGGTCCCTTCATAAGTTTGAGAGACTACGGTGCACAACAAAATAAATTTATGATGAAAGCAGTTGAAAAACTGCTAAAATGTCATTACGGTCAGTCCATGCCCCTATCACCAGCTCTCATTCAATGATAAAGGCATCCTTTATTTGACATTGTCAGTTCTTGAGGAGTTTTCCATGCTGTAGCAAGTGCAAAATCAGAATTTACAAGTATAGAGTTAAACGTCAGAACACCCCCCACCCACCTCCTTCACAGAAGACTTTTTGCCTAATGACTAAATGATATTTTTGAGGCAGTTTTCTTGTCGTAGGAGGCAGGAGGTTGGACTGGATAGCCCACAAGGTCTCTTCCAACTCTATGATTCTATGAATATATGCAGTTTTTTGCATCCCATTATACATTGGTTCACATGCTTTTCTTCTACCCAATATACACAGTACTCTAGAAAGGATGTGATTAGAACCATTGTCTGATCAAATTGCTGTTGTATCAGAGCTTCCTTTGATATAGGTTGGATGGATTATTCACTTGGGTTAGGACATTTGCCGAGGCAGTGTTACATACATAATAGACTCTAAATAGATTAAATTAAGAAGGAAAAAATGGAATTAAATGAAAGCTCTGATACTTCATTGGATAATACTTGGTTATTTTTATTCTGTTGTTTGCAGTGTTTAGTTCAGCCTCTCATTGGAACAGTTTCAAGAACAAATTCTTGAGACAGAGCACATGGTAGTATGGCATTTCTAGAATTGTAAAGCCCAATAATTCTTCAGAAGGTTTCATTGTTGGACTTTCCATTTAACACCTGAACTTGGGAGCATTCTTTTCCTAAGGAAATCTTTTCTTTTTTTCATGTGAAAGAATCGCTGCACAATTTTGAGGGCTTTGTGTTTGTTTCATATCCTGGTTCAACACCAAGGCAATATTTTATCATAAATATTTCTGTGTCACCTTAGATCAAACACTAACATATAGGAAACACTGCATGAACACCAAGCACAAAGTAGCTGCACACAATAACATCGTGCGGAAACTTATTGGCAGCACATGGGGAGCAGACCCAAAATTAATGAGAACATCAGCCCTGGCCGTGTCTTACTCAACTGCCAAGTATGCCTACCCTGTTTAGCATAAGTCTGTCTACGCGAAGCAGGTGAATATAGCATTGAATAAAACATGCAGAATAATCACAGGATGTCTTAAACCTACACCTGTTGATAAACTCTACAAGCTAGCTGGCATTGGCCCCCCGATCTGTGACGGGAAGTTGCTGCTAAATGTGAGAGAAATAAGGTGGAACACTGTTAAAGCCATCCACTACATGACTCCCCCCCCCCCCCCCCCAGCAACAGCAAGAGTATCCCTCTGGGCAGCTAAACCAGAAAATCCCAATTGGATGACCCCTACAAGGGTCTTCCTCCAGGGGCAGACCAAGAATGGGCAAACCAAGAACTACCTCTGAGGATGCTTGCCATAGATGCAGGCGAAACGTCAGGAGAGAACATGGCCATATAGCCCAAAAAAACCTACAACAACCCAATGATTCCAGCCATGAAAGCCTTCGGCAAACTAAGAATGGGCAACTTGGAAGTCCCTGAACAGACTCAGAAGTGGAGTGGGCAGATCAAAAGGCAACCTGGCAAAATGGCACTACCTAAAAGAATCCCACACCTTATGTGACTGTGGAGCACAACAGACAACTCCGCATCTGTATGCTTGTCCACTATGCCCTGCCTCATGTACAGAGGAAGAATTGTTGGAGGCTACCGACAGTGCCGTTGCTTTTGCCCGTTTTTGGTCAAAAGATATTTAGCCACTTGTACTCCTATTTTTATCAGTTTTATACTAATTTATGCAATTCTTTTGATACAAAATAAATAAATAAATCATCCCATCTATTGACATTTTAGGATTCCAATGCAAATATTAAACCTGTTTTTTTCTTTCTTTTCCCAGGGTAACAAGTGTGTGTTTAACATGTGTCGAGGATGCTGTAAGAAAAGGGCTTTTAGAGAAACAGCAGATTGCCCAGGTAAATACCGTCCAGGCTTAATTTCCCTTATGAGGTGAATACTTGTAAAAGACAGATTTTTCAAACCATTGAATATTTTGCTGCTCAGAATATTAGTAGTTCAAGAGATATAAAATCTAGGTTATAATTAGGTTTGCCTGATTGAGCTTTTAAGAAAAACTAGCAATTTCTGAATTTACAAAAATATTAAGAGGGAACGTTTTTCAGTTGCACTTTTTAATGTTCATGGCAGAAAACAAGTAAGCAAAATCCATATTCAAATTCTGACAAGCCATTGAAAAATTATACTTCTTTTACAGAGCAGCAGTTATTCATTAATTGAACTTTTATTGTTCTACAAATATTTATGTATTATTTAATTACATAATAATTTTCCATCTCCTTTTAAAATATTTATTAGTCATCCTTCCCTATTTCTAATCATTATGAAATGTTAGTATTTTGTTTGTTCTGGATTCTCTTAAGGCACTGCTCAAATGTTCTAATGCATGTTTTCCCAATAATACACTATTAGTATTTGTTACAAGCAGTTGGACAGTGTTAATGCTAAACACCACAATACATTGACCAGGCATACACAGAGAGAAGCCCTTCCCAGTTATCATGGTTCCACACTCTTTAGGGCTTTAAGTGCTATTATCAGTACCTTTAATTCAAACTGTAACCAGAAAGGCAGTCACTAAAAAGGTCCAGGAAAATCAGCAAGCTATCTTTTGTTCCCAAAAAGTTGTAGGTCATGGCAATGAAGGCCGTTTTGATACTATCTCTGGTCTAAAATGTATTCAGATAATCTCTTTTCTCCAAGAATGCCTGGAGTTCTCCAGTCACCACTCATGCATGCATCTGGACCCAAAAGAGGTATTAGCCAGGGCATGGCAGTATTCCTGTATCTAGAATCTTGGTTGGAAGAAACTCCATGGGTCATCTAGTCCAACCCCCTGCCTCGATGCCTCTGGATCTTCTGTAAACCAAGGGAAATTATGGTCAGATATATATGCAAAGCCGCAGATGTTGAAGGCCCACAATGTGTCAAATAATCCACCTAAAATAATCCATTGTGAATTCAGGCCCATTTTCCTAAAATTCTATATCACATTCACATTCTATATCAAATAAAATATAATATATAAAACTTTATTGATACCACGCCACCATCTCCCCAAAGGAATTCAGGGCGACTAACAAGGCACTCAAGGTGCCACACATAAAATAGAAATACATATCATCAAACAATACACAATTTGACTGAATACAACAATGAGAACATAGTTCAATAAAATTTCAAATTTTAAAATGTCTAAAACACAGTTATACCTGTAAGTCATTGGGTCTCTTCAAACACAAGCTAAAGTGCCAATAACAATGGTTAATGTCATCACATGACCACAGTACATTACTCCAGGTCAAAGTTCTATGTAAATAACCATGTTTTTAGGCTCAAACAGAAGGTACTACCCACATCCACACCTATTTTTTAAAAAAGATTTGAAACCTCATATAATTATAATAATATCACTTGTATATTGGGGGAATTTTGATTCTCTAATTGCCATTCCCAGTAATATGCCTTTCCCTTATGGCTATACTTTCTAGTTAACCAAGACACATTTTCTTTTTGGTTCTTTAGGCCATGGGCTGCTTTTTAAAACCAAACATGAAAAAAGTCTATTGTGGAAAAGTGGGCAATCCAGCCTGGAGAAGCTTGAGGAGACAACACAGGAAGCTGAGGTAGAGGAGGCTCTGTTGCTAAAAGAAGCTATTGATGGTGTTGCATGAGGCCTTGGTACATCCTCCTGGATTTGCGAACCGGCCTCCGTCTCCCCTTCTGGGCCAAAGAAACCCCTGCTTCCAGAACACAAGAACGTGACGCCACAGATCAAATGTGAGAGGTTTTATTAAGGAAAAAATTCTTTTCTCAGGGAAATGTCCTGTAGTGGAAATAAAAAAGGATGCAAAGAAAGCTTTTTCACAATATGTTTAAAAGATGTCAAAAGACTGAGCCAGGAGCACCGGCCTCAATATGCTGCAATGGGGACAAATTAAAGATATGACTTGCCTGTTTAAAATGTTGTGTGTGGTTTTAAAATTGACAGATGAATCTTTGATAGAAGAATAAAGGCAGCATTGAAGATGTAGGGCAACACAAGTGAGGAGTTCAGTTGAAGTCAGCATTCCAGAATAGGCTGGATGATTGCTGCTCTGAGTAAACAGTTGTGCTCTAATCATGAGCAAAAATAAGTCATGTGAGTCTTCTGACCTAAACAGTTGTAATTCCCTAGCCCCGAGGTACTAACAAAAAACAAGAAATAATTTAGCAAAAATCCTACAGAACTAGGCAAAGCATCAACTGGGAAATGTAAAATTTATTAGCTTTTTAGCACTGTCATGAATTAAGTGAAAATACAATTTAATCACTTTAGTTGAAAATTTTCCAAGTTTGGGAGCAAACCAGCCTTGAAGCAGAAGCGTTGACAGCTTTTGGTCTGCCTCCATGCCGTGTCCAACCCATTGCCTGCAGGAGCTGCCAGTCCAGCCACTTTTCTGTCATCTGCCTATGGAATGGGTCTATTCCACTTCTATGCCAACATGCTAGCACTGAAATGGTGTCACGAGGTGGGATTTTCCTCTACCACTTTGCCCCTTACTTTCTTGAGCCCTTTATTTTATAATTTTTAGCAATATTTGCCTTAAAAATTAACCATTGCTGGAACTGTGAAATTGCTTTAAAAGTAATTTTAAAAATGAGAGAGCAGCAGAAGCATTATGAGGCTATTTGGAGGTGCGGTCATGGGACCAAGCATTGGCAAATCAGCACAAATCTGCAAATGAAGACAGTTGTGATAACAAGGCCTTGTTATCCAGTGCCAGTGATCGCGCAACTGCCGTGGAATAGCACTTTTGTGTTATAAAGTCTTCAATTGATTTTAACTGATTAACTCCTATCAGTGTTTTTTCCTCAGATAAATAGCTCAGCCCTAAACCAGATATCCAAAAAAGTCTTATGCTGCTTACTTTTTAATAAGTATGTTGAGAGAATTGCATATGTGCAACCCGTTTCTATATAGCAAACGGGAGATTCTCCAGGCTGTGGACCAAAGGCAGCCTTTGCTACCTCATTCTCTTCTGTTGTGCCTTTTACTCTGCTTGGAGTTAAACTGTATGATAGTATAAAAGGATATAGAGCAACCTCCAGTATCCTTTTTGAGACAAACTGAAAGAAATGTGTGGGATTAGCTTTTGTGGATTGCATCACATGCATCTCTTGAAGCAGACTGGATTCTTTCTCTTACTCTCAAAGATGCTGCAAGATTTCAGCTTTGAAAGCAAGGAAACTTATTTACTCTGTCTTGGCCTGTTCTCCAATGACAAACCAGAGCGACAAATCATTACATAAGTTGGGGGAAGAACAATGCCTGGATGCAATTTTTTAATCACATGTTGATCATGTACATCTGTAATTCAGCTGTTTTAGTGTTGGCCACACCTGCTACTGAAGTGGAGACATTGATAGGTTTCAGTTGAAACAAGGAGGCTCTTTAAACTTTCCCCACCCATGCAGTGCATGTTTATTCAGGAGTATGCCCATTGTATTTTAATACAGTGATCTGAAAACTGCTGGCATACACCTTCATCAGGTGCACGACCGGGTGAAATGGTGACAACAAACCAGTAAAGCGGACCCCACCATCAAGCAGGACAAACACTGAAGGAGAAGAAAAAGATATCCATTATATTTGAAAATGATAAAGACAAAGAAAAATCAGTTTTGAAAGGTTCTTCAGATAGAGAAATAGTGCTCTAGAAGATGCTCAAAATATGTTTTAGGAAAGAATATTGTATAAAACCACTATCTTTAGGCACTTTGGGCTTTTCCGGCATGGCAGGGGGCTGGACTAGATGGCCCATGTGGTCTCTTCCATGATTCTATGATTCCAGGTCCCATTGATGTTTAACTCTGCTATTCATAGAAATACAATTCACATATGTTTGACAGTTGAGGGACTATATTTTGTATCTTACCTTAAAGCAGCATGAAAATCAGAAATAATGACTTGTGGCCAACATTTGGAATAGAACAATAGAATTGTTCCTTTTATTGTGCTCTCTATTCTCTATATTGGTAGTAACTGGTGCTTCTGGAATATGGCCATACAGCCTGGTAAACTCACAGCAATTCAGTGATTCTAGTCATGAGAGCCTTGGACAACACATTAGTAGTAATTGTTAGCACAGCGAACATGAATGGAACAACCTATAATTTTAAGGGCATGTTTTTAAGCTGAGGCTTAAAACTCCTTTTAGTAGCATAGTTCAGGTTGAGATGGCAAGTAAATGACACAAGATGTAAATGAGAGATCCCGGCTATAAGATTGTGTCATTACACTTTGGGAACATAAATCTTGAAAAGCAGGGATCTTTTTTTGTTTGTCATGTTTTAAAATCTTGTCCTAGGCTTTGCTTTGAGGTTAGTTACAAGTTGCCTTCCAGAGTACCCTTAGTTGTGCTATGTAGGTGTGGCTGCTAGTTGTCGGGTGGAATATCTTGAGGCCAAAGGTTCCCTGGACCAGTTTTAAATCTTTCCAGGTTGATAATACCCACTTGATTTGTACTAAACGGGCTGCTTTGTGGTTCAGTCTCCCCCTCCACACACTAGCTCATATAACTTTAGTATGCAAGGATGGAAAGAACTTCCTTCCTTAATGCTGAAATCTCAATGTGCTTCTGCCTCTCGCTGTAGCTGATCCACCCTTCGGCATGGATGTGAAATGAGGGAGGAGTTTGATGAGCTTAAAGCCCATAAAGATGACATGTTCAAGATTTCAGATTGGTAATAGGGAAATTACAGTTTCCAGATTCCTTTAAATCTAACATTTTGAAATAGGCAGTGGGAGGGAAACTGTCAAGACCCAGACCAGTCAGCACCTACCGGCAACTAAAAAGGTTACATGTATCACAAGGTGGCACTCCACCCGGAGAGATTTGTTATGCTCCTTTGATACCTGTGGAACAAATCTAAGATTAACAGGAGCAGAAATAAATAAAATAGAGGAAGGAGGCTCACGGACCAGATTGTCAACCTCACGGCCCACAGGTTAAGAACCACTGCTCTACTGTAACCACTTATAATATAAAGTTCATAACATTAGCTGTCCTAACTTATTCTGCTTGCATGAAAATATGTCATGTGTGATTCGGTTCCTAAGACCATGGTAGGATTTTTATTTTTAAAAATCCCCATAGGATTTCATTTTACAAAACATAACACTATGAAACAAAATTTGAAAAAAAAATCTGTTCCTGGCTTGAAAGTGTTGTTTCCTATTTAATTCTGAGGTATGTGCTTTGAAAGTAGTTGTCATACTCCAGAAACTTCATTTCTGTGAACTGCCACAAACTATATCAAATTGTATTGTCGAAGGCTTTCATGGCTGGAATCACTAGGTTCTTGTGGGTTTTTTCGGGCTATAGGGCTATGTTCTAGAGGCATTTTTCCTGACGTTTCACCTGCATCTATGGCAAGCATCCTCAGAGGTAGTGAGGTCTGTTGGAATTAGGACAATAGGTTTATATATCTGTGGAATGGCTGGGGTGGGGCAAAGAGCTCTTCTCTGCTGGAGCTAGGTGTGAATGTTTCAACTGACCACCTTATAACAAATTGGTTGAGACTCTGAGATATTCAATGAAAAATTATAGAAAAATGTGTTGCAGAATGTCTTGCACCAAGTTTTTGCAGTTTAATAAACCTTTTCCATGTTTTTATGATAGAACCAATTAGGAAATGACATTTATATCCCAGGAACATCATGCCACATAGTGTAATTGAAAATTTTGCAACATCTTGTAAGAAAGAATATTTTCAACTAGCCTTAAGAAACTTAAAATTTTAGAAGGGGTGCCAAGATGGCAATGAGGTGTTTGATGCAAACCAGGCACATCCAGATTCACGTCACCAAACTGTGCCACAAGGTTGGGAGGGACAGGGATTATAATTATATCTGTGAAAGGAGGAAATTGTTAAAATATAGTAAATTAAAATATTTATATGATTTAAAGACATGTTTATTGAAAGAGCTGGTGACCATCTATCTACTGGTGACTTCTCTGGCCCCGGTATAGAGCCTCGAGCTCGTTCTGACCCAGCTTTCCTGTCCGCCCTTTGAGCCACTGGCTTTGATAGACCTCGGCATTCCTCGTAGCACTCATCTCGGCCTATCATGTCAGTGAACTATGTGCCCTACAGGCAGACAAACCTTACCTTTGGTTTCACAACAATAAGGTCATCCTCTGTACGGAAATCTCCTTTCACCCCAAAGCGGTTTCCTGCTTTCATATGTCCCAAGACTTGATCCTACCAGGCTTCTTTCAGAACCCAACCACTCAATTGGAGAAATCCTTGCATACCTTGGATGTCAGGCGAGCCCTTGCCTTCTATGTGCATTGAATAAGTGCACACAGGAAATCCCTGAGGCTCTTTCTTAAGTACTGTCAAGACGCCCTAGGACTTCCACTCTCATCACAGCAGCTATCAGCCTGGATCACTACCACCATCAGACTGCCTTACAGTCTAGCAGGTTGGGATCCTCCTGCTTTGATCAATGGTCACTCCATTTGAGCTGTTGTTACCTCCAAAGCCTTCCTGCATGGGGTACTATTGGAGGAAATCTGTAGAGCACCAGCCTGTTGAACATCATTAACCTTTGTTTCCCACTACAAGCTTGATGTTGTATCCCATCAAGATGCAGCTTTTGGCAGAACTGTCATGTTTTCCTGCGTGGCATGATCCCACCTCCAGGTTGGTAGCTTGCTAATACCCATATGTGCGCATTTCACAGAGACCACGAAGAACGGGTTGCTTACCTGTAACCGCGTTTCTTCAAGTGGTCATTTGTGAAATTTGCACTTCCACATTCCCCGCAGTTATAATTTCCGATATCTATGGCATTTATTGTGGCTAAGGAACTGAGGCATTTGCCCCTCCCGCTGGCTTTATACGATAAGGGGAGAGTAGATGGAGCTGCTGTCAAAATGTTTCAATTTCCAACATCTGGAGAGTTCTGAAACTGTGCAAATGTGAGAAGACCCATATGTGCAAATTTCACAGATGACCACTCGAAGTAACATACTTACAGGTAAGCAGCCCATTCTCCTCCTCCATCCTCGTAGCCTAGAATTCCTCAAAATCTTATTTCTCCACAGTTCAGCCAGTGTATTCTAAATTGGCTGATGTCTATTGCATGGGATAGATTCTAATAATCCTAGCTTTCATTGAAAAATGGAAACCAAACAATATACACAAAACAGTGTCATAAACTTTCTTCCATCTTTTTTAAAAAATGCCGTTTTCTAAGAGAACTGCCTACCCTGCCAACTACCCAAGAGGACTTGCAGGGTCTGCTTTTAACTCCAATCTCGATTAAGGTAAACATATATTCAGTGCCACTTGTAAAGACTGCAATTTCACACATTTGTCATTTCCTCAAACATCTGTGCTAGAAGGTTGACTTGTTTCCAATTTTAGGATGCATGTCCATGAGGGAAAGAATAAGCGCTCAGTTCTGCAGTCATCTTTACAATTATGCTTTTTAATGCATAGGAGAAAACTTTGTTTTAAACTAAATAGCATTAACAGTGTCTGAAGAAAATCTATTGAGTTGTCAAGGGCTAGGTTCAAATTTGTAACTTGTCCCTGGGATGAATCCCCAATGGATGAATCCTAAACAAAAGGAATTGTGGTGTATTCAAATATGTAAACTATGCTTGTTAACAAAACTCAATTAAGAGTCTGGCCTGGGATCACTAACACAACTCTCCCCTCCCCCTTGTTTTTGCAAAGGATAAATAAGTGGTTCCAGGAGTTCAGCGAGCCAGATGAGGTTCAGCCCAGATACAAGTGAAGGCCCTTCCCTGCCATTTCACTTTCTCTGTTGGGGCCCAAGTAAGCTAGTAAATTGGGTAAGGACCATCAACATTAGCTAAAACCTGAACAAGGCAGAATCCGGATTCTAAAAACTGAAAAAAGTCTGAAGTTGGCCTGATCCAGGGTAAATGCAAACCCAAAGCTTGCACTAAGTGAACAGAAATTCTGCCAGGTTGCCTATTGGTGTTGCTTGAGAGGGTTTTACAGGGTCTGGGATACTGTGCCTATCTGAATAAGAAGTTCTACAGACACACACTTGTCCCTCCAGATTCATGCTATATAATTTACTGAATGAAAACTAGAAAGCTCTGCTGGCAGCTCAAGGAAGCCAAGTGAAAGGTCTGTTTGGGAAACACCCTGGACAAGACACACCCCAGTACCAACACGCTCGCAGGTTCTCGAAAATGCTGCATCTAATGGAGGTTTCTGTTCTAAGAGGAGTTTCTCAGACTCTCAAGGCATGTCCCCAGCAGTCCTGGCCCTCCCACACCTAGAGAGTCTGAAAAGGCACCAAGGGAGGATTGGTGGCGCAGACACGGTGTACACACACAGCCCTGGGTGGGAAGGGGGAAGAGTCTTTTGATGATTCAAAGAGCTTCACATGTTGGTGCTCATCCGGGACTGGCTGTTCGCTGGAGTGAGTTCCCCTTGGCTTCCTTCTCTTGGAGGAGACTGCAACAAGACAATAAAGACCATGGGCTCTGTAAGCAATGAGCTATAATCAGGCCGTGAGTTACCACAATTGCAGTAAAGAAGAGGGAACCCCAAATCCAGCTCCCCTTGCTGACCTTCACATGGATCTGATTACGCAAGACAGCCGCTCGTAGGATCATAGCTTTGGCGCGACGCTGGAACTCCTTCCCCATCAGCAAGGACTTTTCAAAGGTGGTGCTACGCTGGTCAACATCCCGTGCATATAAAATCTAGAAAACAAGGGAGAAAGTTGCTGGAGAGACCCAGAGAGTTTTAAAGAGGAGAGAAGGGGAGTTAGAGAATCTTTTAGGACAATTTCCACAGAAATACTGGCAAGTATTTGTGGAATGTAACTTGTCCTTGTGGCTCCAAACATTTTAAAAACTGGAGAGCATTAAAAACATTTGTTGCACCATTACCCTGCCTCATAAACAAAAATTTACAAGAGGTGACACAACTGTTGCCTTCCATGTTTTCCTACCAATTCTTTCATATTGTGTGTGTGTGTGTGTGTGTGTATTTACATATTCATAAAACAGCCTTTACTTTTTGTGTTAACAGAAACCTCACATAGCCAGCAATATATCTCTTGAGCCCTGGTGCTAGGAGCTCTTCATAGAAAAACCGCATGTTTTCCATGTTTGAGAAGAAGAATTAATAGTGGGGTCAGTGTCTGCTGATTGGTCAGAAGCTCAATAGGGAATTGTGTGGTGGCAAATGAAGAGAAGCATATGCCTCCAGCACAACTGTCCCATATTCCGCTCACATTCCACTCACCAGACTCTCTTCTGCCATTCTAATTCTTACCAAAATAGTCAAACCTTTTGTGTGACAATTAGGTTTTCAAATCAGGATATTAAATTACAGCTTTTGAGCAAGCAATGCAGGCTTCTCCTGGTGGTATTTATATTTGCATACAGCTACTAAAGGAATGTGCGAGGCATTCAGTTCTTGGCAAGTCAACAGATCTTTCCTGAGTGCAGATATGAGCTTGAGTGTGACTGGCCCTTACCTTACTATGAGAGTCTATCCTGGCATTAATCAGTCCCTCTAGGATCAGCTGAGTGAGCTCGTCCTCCAGAGCTGCTACAGTAGTGTTGAATGCAGTGGCCATCTTGCGCATGTCAGCTGAAACATAGGGGCTAAAATACTAGAAATGGAAGATAAATTTGGAAAGAGGAAGGTGCCAATTAATGACTCTCTGTGCTACATTCAGCAAGGGATGAAATTAGACAATCCCACTACTCTTAAGGCGGGCAATCGTTTGGAACCCTGCAGTCCAGTTACCTGTATAAGGGCCCGATTTCGGATCTGAGTATAAAGCGTTCTCACATGAGGTGCCAAGTACATATCCAGCAGCAGATTATCCTGAGCAAAACAAAGATAACAAAGAAAGAATTAACAGGCTGCCTCAAACCTGCTACAAAAAGCAACTATATATGGAAATAGAAATATACAAAAGAGAAATACTAGGAGAAAATATTGGTAGGTTACATACCTGTGACCATCTTTCTTCGAGTGGTGCTCTGCGAATTCACACTTGTGGAG